CAAATTGTAAAATCGCTTGGAGACCCCCAGGTTTGAGGCAAACTTGGGCCACATCGAAGCGCTAGGCTCCCGGCCAGCGGGCGCTCGCTGCTGCTGCCGGCTAAGGCGCCGCCCGAGCCGACGGCCTCGGTGTGCCGTTGGCCTCTCCCAGTCTGCAGAGAGAAACCCAAAGGTACCACACATGTGACATACGTAGTACAAACAGATTGTATAACTATAATTACATATAATGTTAATATTCATATTACCATATATATATATATATATATGTTGTATATATTATATATACTCAGGCCCCAGAGAGCTAAAAACTATTGAAAAAAAAGAGAGTGTTTTTGCAGTCATTTTATGAAGCAAGAAGGAAAGGTAGTTCACGAGGGGGGATGCACTGTGTTTTGCAGGACTCCGTTTTTGGAAGTGCTTTAAAGGCGATTGCAACGGGAACCACCCATGTTAGGGTCAGGACGCATTTGGAGACGAAACCACTTACAACAGTGAGCTGAAAGCCATTCCAACGTAAGCAAGTTTCACAAGACACGTTTGACGATATTACAGCAAGAATGACTACTCTTCTCGCTTACACATATAAACAAGATGGAATCTGGAAACCATTCCAGCGGAAGTTTCGCTGGCACCAGCTAACTAAAATCAAAGCAATTGCTCTCGCATACAAAGATCGACCTTCTATCATGCTAGTCTCCTGCAGATTAACATCTAGCCCAGCAAATGCCGTCTTGAGCGCAAGCTCCTTGTGCGCACTTCTCTTCTTGATGGGCCTACACTGGGGCCGAGGCCCCATCCGTTGCTGGCGAGGGGGTGGAAACTCGCGCCTTGCATCCAACAGCCCCGCTTGGAAGATGAGCCAGACTTGCGAGTTGCCTGGATGGCCCAACCCCTGCAAAATCAAGGCGATCCATCAAAACGATGTAAGGACTACTGCAGGTGCATAACCGCAAAGGGTTTTGGACCGCGCATGAACAAGGCTTGCTTCGGCCGCGCTCAAAATCTGCTTTGTCTCAGGCGTCGGTTTGGCTTCATTTCCAGAACTGCTGATATGTAAGCGGAATTGCAGCGGAAAAGTAGAATTCATGTAAGATTCAGGACGGAAAGTGCAAGCAAGTACTGGACTCTTGAACAATATCTTACCACAGTCACCTGCTCCCACGTGTAAACACTACTATTACAAGCGCCAAGCTAAGACGAAACTACACAGACCCTACAGAAATGATCAAACATGGCTGTGGCTCAAACAAATGAACCAAAATGGCACCTTGGTAGATGGAACCAAAGACTAAAACACGCGTAACCCTGGCTCGTTAATTTTGAGCCACACCCACATGCAAGCAACTGCATCAACCCATGAATGCGTACGCCATCAGCAGGTTTCATTCTCCAGGTTCACCATAGTTGTTTAAGGCTTCTGCCCCTATTCAATGTTGACCTACGAGGTAATGCAAACATTTCTGGAAGTGGCTCAAATGGGTAAGTGTTAAAACTAGGAACCCTTCAAATGGCTGCGTTCGTGGTTCTTCCCTTCCAACAACAGCCCAAAAACAGGCCTCTAGACTTGACATGCATTGGTCCTGTATAAATGTTGGTCCAAGGTCAGATCTTATGGATCTAAGAAAACATGGGGCACGCAAAGTCCAGAATCCGGGAGGTGCACTGCAAGCAGAGATCAGGGACCCTGGACACCGGGAAGAAAAAGGGGACTGCTTTTCTTTTTTGAAGCAGCACATGTCTTCCCCAGGAATTGGCCCGCCATTTTGGGGGAAAAGTTGCTGTTGCACCCTTTTTTGCCGGGTATTTTATGCCGCGTGGCCACTCCGAGAAAGCTCGCATGCGCGGCTGCCACGAACTCCGCGCCTCCGGCTTCCAGGTCTCTGAAGACCACCTGGGTTTGCCCCCCCTCCCCCACCCCGACCCCCCAACCCACCCACAACCCCCCCCCAAAAAAAAAACACGGTGCAATTCCGTTTGCGTCGGCAAGTGAAGGAGGAAATGAAGCTTAAATGGGAAGTGCCATCTGGATGTGTCAGAACCATGGCTGGTGTTTATTGGATGGTTCTTCTGAATAATGATTGTGTCTAGATTAGACACACACACACACTTAGACTTGACATTAAAGTGGCCATGCGGATAGTGATTCGAGCTGGGAAAGTTTAAAACACGGGAGTCAGTCATTCTCGACATCGCTCTGAGACAGTGTCATCAACAAGGAAAGCTAAAGCCCTCACCCAGTACCACGCATCCAACCAGCATTTACAGTCAACACCACTCCCTCCTAAAGCTTACGCAAGCCAGCCAGAAGTTGCCAACCTGCCACCATCAAGAAACGCGTCACACTGCACATGATGGCGAGCCTCTTCATAGTGCCGGTGCCAGTGGTATTCGAGGCTCTATCCTGGGTGACTGTGCGGCTGAGCTTCTCGAGTTGTTCGCACTTCTGCGCACTGTGTGGATCGAATGGCAAACAACGAATGGAACAGCAGGTCACTTGCAACGCCCTGCCAAACTCCAAGTATATATATATACTCAGCAGGGAGGCCCTGTGCTGGACGTTTATATTATTGCAGGACAGGAACTTGACATGGGCAAGGTCGCAAAGCCCCTTTTGCGAGGTCGCTATGATTTGGATTAGATGGTTGTAGCTGTATAGACAAGTTGTCAAGGATTTGGAACTGATTGGCACCTGTGCAAGCTTCCATTGAAGGTTTGCATTTCAGGACTTTCCTTCTGATAAATGTCTGATGATAAAGCATACCAACTCAAGCACCACTATGCAATCTGAAACAAACATCAGCGAGCTATATTGCATCCAATGCCAGGTTCCAGTGGGTAAAATGTCACCACTCTCGCCCCCACAGCATGACGGCCTCATCCTCACGATCCGCCCACGCCTCCACAACGGAGAGGGTGGCAAGTGCGGTTGGATAGCAAAAGACGCTCACCCACTGCTTCATTAAGACTTGCATGTGTGTATGTGTGTGTGTGCGTGGTTGTTTTTTGGTGGGATGCCATTTAGGTGGATTTTAAAGGCCACCCAAAGATCAACCATTGTTGGGTCTACAAATTTGAGACAAACCGCGTTGAGATTCAGCAAGCCTCTGCTGCAGCCCTATCGATCGCAGAGTAGATCCAGAATGACAGGTGCTCGAGAACCTGCCTCCAATATAGGTATGTGTCTAAATAGGGGACCCCCCATAATGGTGGTTTGCCTTGTGGTGTCCGTTTCAACCAACCGGTCAAGGGTACCTTCAAACAAACGCACCCCTATGGTGTATTGACTAGGTTCCCTGGTCGAAGCGCTCCAAATCGCGGCCAACGTCCGGGCGGGACCCTGCGTCCAACACTCGCCTGCTTTGGCCGCAATATTCGAAATCGCATGTTCGCTGAAAAATGCACATGGCGACTTTTTGAGGATTGGAGTGTGCAGATTTCACCACGACGGTCGCATCAAACAGGGATGTGTGTACGTGCAACCATGCGTCGGCGCTGCGTCCGTGCTGCGCCCTACGTCATGCATCGGCCATGCGCCGGCGCTGCGTCAATTGTAGCGAGTACTGCGGTGCGTGATGCGGCGTGATGCGCCCCACGTCGCGCGTCGCTGATGTGTTGCAGACGCGCCCAATGCTGCATCTTGCTGCAAAATGTGTCGCGGTAGACCGCGTTAGTTAGACCACGTTTAGTGTTTGCTGAATTTCTACCGTGTCCTGAAACCGCAGGAACTTTTGAAACTCAGGCTTGTCCAGGTGCAGCGTTTTTCGCGCCAACTGATGAGCCAAGTTTTGATGCGACCGCTCTCGCCACCACCACAAACTCTTCAAGCTCAAACTTGCAAAACAAAATAACATCGTCCCCTGTACTTTGAATGGGCCCAACAAAGTTTTGTCCTATGCCCGCGCAGTCTGGCGGCGTTCGTACGCTCTGACGGGACCGTGATTATCTTCGTGCCACGCGCGTTGTTTGGCGGTGTGCGCTCTGACGGGAACGTCAACATGTTTGCGCCGTGCGCGCGCAGTCTGCGGCCGGCGTGTGACTGACTGTGGTCAGCGGGGCGCGCGGAGCGCGAGTAGGATGCTGATGCCCGTCCGGCACAAACCTATGTTTTGGGAGGGAAGAGATGGTTTGAGCAAACAACGTTGATTATCCAGGTCCGGTAGAGGTGTCGACACCTTAAGGGTAGCTTCAAACAAACGCACACCTGGTCGAAGCGTTTCAAATCGAGGCCCTTGTCTTTGACAACCAATCTGGACAGTGAAGCCACGCTCCACCGCAGCACCGGACTTTATTTCATGTCCTCTCCATGGTTTCTTCCAAGTGATGCCTAAGGCTTCATCAGGGTCTGAGTCTTATTTAGGGAAACAATAGGGGTTGCATCCCATACCAACCAGGGGCCTCACGTGAAAGGGCGTCAAAACGCCACCAACATATTTCCTGTTGGTCCCCCTTTAACGCCATCCCAAAGGGGTCCACATTTTGTGACACAACCCCATGATCTGTCAACTCAACATAACAAGGCTATGCAAGCCGCTGGAACGCTCTGTGAGGCCTTCTTGGGGTGTGGCGAGTGTGGCCATGTTGGCCACACCACGAAAAAAACCAAACACCCCTAACCCAGTGCTTCCAATTACTTCTATAGTAAGTAACCAGGTATGGCCACCTCTAGGTTGTACATGATGGTTTCCTCTGGTCTGGTTACCCACTGTATCTATGATATATATATATATATATTTATATTGTCTTGCCTGGAAGCACTGGGTGAGAAATCTGCAATTCCTGCCCTAGATGCCCACTTGGGCTCTCAGAGCTTCTGCTAACTCGAGACCCAGAACGTGTCGGTCTCCGGCCTTCGGTCGTGACCCGGTGGAGACCTGGCGCTCGAAATTCGAAGGGGGACCCAGGTACCTCAAAAGCAAGCCTAAAATGAAAATATGGTGTTGTGGGGCCTTAAATTCATATTAGTCATGATTATGGGAATGAGCCACTAGTAATTGCTTGGGTAATTGTGTTAAGCAAACCCCTGCCAGGGCAGGGAGGCTGAAAACCCTGAGCAATCTGTGTGGATGTCACACATGTCAGGCCGACTTGCTAAATGGCTGACCGTACCCCATCTACAGACAGCCCACACAAACGTCAGGAGCGGAACTGAAACTGAAAACACACTTGGGTGTTTCCTTTCACGCGGATTATGACTTGTCTAGCTTCCCTGAGGTTCGCTTTAAGAATCATCCAGGTCCCATTTTGTGTGGTAATCCTTGCATCAGGACAAGAAACCAACTGGTGTGAATTTAACATATGCTTGCATGTGCGCATGTATGTGCTTCAATCAGGGTCCTGAGCTACGCCTTTCATGGAAGACCAGCTGGGAAATGTTCCTGTTGGGTGCTTCGGGCACATAGTTAAACTGCACGCGTGCTTTGCGCATGCCTATGCAAAGCCACTGCACCTGCAAGGGGTGCGTACGTGTTCATATTTGCGTACGCGTTTCTTGTGGGTGCCTACGCAAGCCGCTTGCATGCTTCGTTTCCACCTGAGCTTTGCGCTTGAAGCTTCTCAGCTTAACTGCAGTACGCAAACTGCACCTTGGCAGCTCCACCCCCAAAATCGTAATTGTTAAGTACAAGTGTAGCACTCAAAGTGCACCATTTGGCAGCTGCAGATTGAATTGGGAAGCTTGGAGTGGCAAGCCCGGAAACGGACACACTCATGAAAAGGGCCTCGAGCCTCGGAGCCTGCGCGATTCTGTTGGGAAGATCCAGACCTCACGTTCTGAGCTATAGGGGATTCCTGGCGAACTGGCAGCGATGGATGCAAATCCAGTTCCAATAGCTATACCATGTAGCCACTCTCCCTCGTGTAGCCTCAACCAAAACGAGAAAGCTTCAGGCCATGAAAAGCTCTGTGATGTATCATCTCAGGCTTGCCTACGCGAGTGCCTACTACGCGAGTGCCCACACAAGACAAAGTAGCTTTCACGTCATCAGAGGCCAGGCAAGTTAACATCCCGACAAGATCGTGACTTACCAGCTACCTTGATTCATGCAATCTGGTTTTGCTACAAGATGCCAATCACATATTCGAACCTCCCACCTATTGCTGGCACTGCATCGGTTGATGAACAGGTCCGGTCCATTTGTCTGTGCTGGGCTTATGCAAACACTCCTGAATGAATTCCAGTTATGCAGCACTGCTCTGTTTTGATACAGCCAAACTTATTTTAAAAAGCTTGATCTGATTGCAAAAAAGCCGATCATGGCTCGACCAGCACATGGGTGTGTGTTCTTTTGAGGGAATCGGCCACAACTAGATAAATTTGGGGCTCCCTATGAGGCTCCCCATCAGACAAACCTACCTCAACCCTTCCCCGACATCCCGGCACCGCACCGCTGAGTTGGAATGGACCATCGCATCAGTCAAGAGAGCCATTTGCTTTTCCAACTCTTGCTCCTGCCCACGGCACTCGGCAAATTTGCTGCCCAAAAAAAGGCATCCCCCCCAAAATGGCGCCGTGGCAAATGGGGCACAACAAAACTACAACCTGCTAGCTCTTGACTTTTTGGGACGCACCCAATTACCCCAAAAAGTATCATGCCGAACTGGGCCGCCAGAACCTAGCCAAGTTTACTCATGCCAAGATGATCGGCGTGTTCATGGTTGGCTTCGGGAGTCTGGGGCGGACCTGGCAGATCTTTGCCGCGACCAAAATCAATCCTGGTTCACCCAAACGAACACAATACCGACCAATCATTCTAAAACCTTGTGGGTGTGGGTCAAAAAAGTGTACCCAAAACGGAACCCTGGTAAGTGGTAACATGGATTAAACCCTGCGGTCCCCTGGTGGTTTAATTTTGACCCATACCCTTGTAACTTAAAGCCTTAACCTCAAACATGAAGAGTACCGGATGAGAAGACTACGACTACTTCCCACCTTTGAGCGAACTCCTCTGTCATCATGTCCTCCCCTGTGATTCTCAGGCACCCCATGAGAAATTGGGATGCTAGCTAGCAAATATGAAGCATGCACCGAGCTTCAAATACAACGCTTGGGAATGAATCATATCTGAGGTGCCAACCAAATGGACTCAAAGAACCCATTGGTCTAGCCATGGCGTGAGGTTGCAAAGCAACAATTTAGGTGAGGTCGCTATATTTGTCCAAATCAGGCGCATTGACCTCTTATTTCAGAGTCTAAATGAGTGTGTGTGTGTGTGTGTGTGTGTGTGTGTGCGTATGTGATTTTTTAGGGGACCCTGAAAAATGACGGCAGTCATTTTGGAATCCCTTCAAACACCGCAAACAAAAACAGACCCAAAAACCGCAACGAGGTCCGTATTTGTCAAAGGCCTGGTTTGGGAGATGCATCACTCGTCTCCTGCTGCTCCAGCTGCTGCTGATGCTCGTTAAGCTGTTGGTCATCCTGCTCCAAGCGCTGGTCCTGACGGATCAAATGAACGGATCTTGGACCATGACTTGACGATGTTGATGATGATGATGATGATGACGATGACGATGACGATGAGGATGAGGATGATGACGATGATGATGATGATGATGATGATGATGATGATGGCACGCGTAGCGGTTTCTATCGTGACTCTGCCACTCTCAGTTCGCACCGCGGATGGTGTATCATATACGGTGTCCTGTCTGCAACAAATACAGGAAACAAAGGCCAAGGAAGGTCGCACCCATTGGCTCAAGCCCTGTAATGAGATACAACCTTATGCATTCTCTCAAGGGCTTCAGCTCTGGTCGCAACACATCTTGACCAATTGGGGTGCTCCATGCCATGACCTCAAGCCGATGGCAGTTCTGCCTGCTGTTGGAGCTGCAGCTGCTGCTCTTGAAGCTGCTGGTCCTGAAGCACGTCAGGCGATTTGCCTTTGATCGCCCGGTGACATGTCACACGCGGCTAAATGAACGAACTACACATGGCTCTGTTGCCCGGTGCCCTTTTTCCAATTTGGGTACCCCTTCAAACTCGCCCAACACAAGTCCCAGCGCCTGATGATGTTTGTGTGATCAGCCATGTTATTCAGCGACCAAAGGACCAAAGGCCTAGACCATATGTCACTTGATTCATGGGGCCTTTCAACCCTCTTGTACAGCTATAAACAACATGAAAAGCAGCTGCCATTCAGCCAACATCATGGACATGGACAGGGGGTGTGTCAGTGCCGTCCCACACTCCGCAAAAAGGCGGCCGAAGCTTCATCGGCAGCCTTTGTTGTGAAGAAGCTCCTTTTCACAGACTCACAATAAAACTACTTCATCCCCATCCAAACTAAACAACCCTCATCCCAAAAGTAGGGCTCTTTTTTGGAACTCTGCCATTAGGCGCCGCCTTAGGGTTTCCACGTGTCCAATACTTCTGACAGCTCAGCTGGGGCCCCGGTCCATCTGCGTAAGGTCATCCTCATTCTGCGCAAGTCGCTCTTCCAGATCCTTGATCTGCTGCTCCTTGCAGGGAATATCAACGAATTCCACGGAAAACAAATTATTCCCCTGCAAACTAATATGCAACAAGCCAATTAGGGGTCCCCCTACAACTGGGTGCGTTTGGCGTTCCATGTCAATCCGCAGAGTAAAACCAAACTGAAACTAGTGGAATCCATCTGTTTGAAACCAGAGTGACCTAGAAGGACACCTGCTTGTCCAGCACAAGTCCACCGGGACCTACATAAATCGAAGGATATTTTACAGAAATGCATTAAGTAATCATTATGCAAGGTCCAAAGGTTCTGCCAGGACAGTCACACTTAGAGAGCTGCATTCAAGCTGAACGCATCTTGTAAACTTGCTTCAATTGATTGTGCACAATAAGAAGCAACACGCACCAAGCCCGCGATTACAGCTGTGACACGAATTTATGCGCTGCATTTGCAAGCACACACTGCACGCCCAGGGCGGCACAATTCTTGAGTCAGCACCACCATGAGAAAGACCGTACTTGCATGTCTCAATAAACGGACCAGTGGGAAGCTTGCCCTCTTGCTCCAAACTGATTGGTGCGGGGGTGTCCCAAACTAAAGGAAGCATGGCCGTGTCTTTGTGTTAAGTGTACTCTTTTCGGGCTTTCAATCAGAACCCAGGAAAGCGCCCAAATGGAGTTGGAGATATCTTTGCGGAAACAGTTCTTTTTTACAGAAACCCGGAAACCACCCGCGGTTGCGCTTTCCAGGGTGATGTTTAGCTCTTTTTGTGACCTCAGGTCTTGTGGACCCATGTCCAGAGACCCAAATCCGAAGGCAAGGGCCTGCGCGTCCAAGCGCTCTTGCTGGGCCGAAAGCAGCTGGCCCTGACCTCGCGTGGAGAAAATCGAATGGGGTTGTGTTTGCTTGAGGCTACCCTTTTTCAGCTTGGTTTGAAGGGACGCCAAAGGGAAAGCCATCATTCTGGGGGTCCCCCTACGTTAAACTGAGGATGCTCAAAATGCATTGTTAATTTGCACCAACTGAACAGTTGGAGTGGTATTGACATATTTATGTTTCAAACAAACTGACCTGAAAAAAGGAGATTGGAAGCAGGCAACACGGATGTGTGCAAGGTACCTTGGTTTGTGCTTCCCTCTCATATTTCATAATGTCGAATGCACGGCTGGCAAGGCTGCAAAGCAAGATGTCTAAGAATAATATCTTCTTGTGGCCTCAAACAAATTGAGCCAGGTCCAGATCATCCCAGAACCCAAGACCCCACAAATTGTGAACTCCTACTTTCCGCCTCACAGTTTGGTGGTGTTGATCCTTTTTTGGACCTCCTCATTTGGGCCAACATGAAACTAAGACTGGCTTCATGAAAGTCACACTCTCAACAATGATCCGCTTAAACTGTGTTCTATGGTGATGTATAGGACGTCCACCCCGAGGAATCCATCACCGTCAAAGTTGTTCACCTGTGAACTACAAGGACAACTCAGAAGACCTCCGTGGGCAACCTCTCAACCGCGTCAGCTCAGAGCGAGCTGGGACCCTGAATAACCTGAACCAGGGTCAATGCGTCTTCTCGAAGCTTCGGTGCCAAATTGTTGGGTTGAAAGAAAAAGGAGAACCAAAGGGACACCGCATGGAAGCACTGAGCAACGCTTGGGCCGCTTGGGGCGCCGCCATCACAGGTCTTGGCAAGCTGCTGGAGCCTGGCCATCGAGGCGTTTCTTTGAAAATCCGGGACTTCAGGAGGTTGATGGCCTTTGGTTTTCACATTGCACCATCCAAAGGGACCCCCGTATTGAGCAACACCCGAATGAAACCTAGAAAGGTGTGTTGCTCGTTTAATCAGTGCTCATCTGGCTTACATGTTGTATGCATTACATTTGCATAATGTCCAATAATGATGACATGTATGCTCCCCAGGGCCATGGCCAATTGTGACTTACCTGCGCGCTCAACAACGCCGACCCGATGGCTCAGGTCTCTTTCGCTGACAGGCAGCTTGTGGAAAGTATTGTCAGTCTGCGGAAAGGTGCCTCTGAGAGGAATGCGGCTTGAAGCGAAACACATCAATATATATTGTTAATATACATCCGGTGCTGCATTCTCAAGTTGGTCATTTGTAACTGTTCCTGCTGATTGCTCTGACTGTCTAAGCAGTCTGTTGTAGTGTGGGTCTTGTAGTCCCAGGTATGCTGTCATCTTGTACTTCCATTCTTCGAAGGTGTTGTATTCGCCATTCAAACGTGGTGGTGATATCTTATACTTGTGGATTCCTTCTAGCTGCTGCTGTTGTGGTTGCTGATCTTGTTGATGTTGTGCCATGTTACACACTACTGTGTACCTCAACCTGTGAGTGCGTGTTGGAGCTCACCCTGGGTAGTGTGGTAGGATCGTGTACCGGGGATCACTGCTCCGCTACCATGTTAAAGTTGGATTGATGATGTAAATACCTGAAGACCTGTGTGTGACAGCGCGGCACTGTTGTTTCCAGGTGGCAGGCTGTAGCTCTACTGTATGTAGGCTCAAGGCCTTGATCATCCAGATGTGCAAGGGCATGTACAAGTGAGCAATGGACACAACTGAGCAACAACTTGCACTACATCCTAGTGAGCACATGCGATGGACCAGCATCTACAATCTGCAGACAAAACATGCAAGGCAACGGATTCGAAACATGGCGGCTTATACATGCAAGGTACTCCATACCTCTTGGTACAAGGAGCATTGGATACCTTACAAAGCTGCTCAAACCACAACTCGATGAACAGAAGTTCGAAGAGAGCTTTACAACATGGGAGTTCGAACTCTCAAGGTACGAACAAGACAACAACACACTACTACCAGATGCAATCAAAATCGCAGTGCTACTCAATGAAACAAAAGGAAAGGACCACTACAGCAGCATTTGCAGCTACAAGCAGGAAACATCACAACATACGCACAGATCAGATCGATGGTGATCGAGTACTACAGAGCAACAGCGTCATTCCAACAGCAATCAAGGACCGGCACCAATGGACATAGGAGCAACATGGTACAACAAAGGAAAAGGAAAGAAGGGCAAGCACAAAGGCAAAGGAAAGCACAACAAAGGCAAAGGCTACGGCAGCTACGGCAACAACATCGGATACAACAACTACAAAGGAGGAAAAAGTAAGTACAATCAACAACCGGTTGGACAAGGAAATCCTTTCAAAGGACAACAAGGATACTCCAAAGGAAAAGGATACAACAACAAAGGAAAAGGAAAAGGATACTACAACAACCAACAAGGAGGAAAAGGGTCAAAAGGAAAGCAAGCAACAAGTGTTTGCTACAGATGTGGACAACCAGGACACATGGCCAAACAATGCAGAGTGGCGATCTACAACTGCGATACTGGCAACTTCGATGGCAACACAATGACACAGGAACAACAAGCGAACATCATTGAATCAAGATGGGCTCTAAAACCAAAACACAACGAAGTACGAGCACGCATAGTAGCAAAAGGCTACACAGAACCCGTTACAGACCACGACCTACTCTTCGCAAGTACACCATTGTTTTGCATTCTGAGAGTGCTTCTCACAATGGCACTGGTGTACAACTGGTCGGTCTGTACAGGAGATGTGAGTGTTGCATTTCTACATGCAGCAGCCATCACACACAATCTGGCAATGAGACCACCACACGAGTTTTACAACGAGGAGAACAGACACATAATGTGGCGGCTAAACAAAGCAATCTACGGTCTTAGATCATCACCAAAACAATGGCAAGACCACATAGCACTCGTTCTCACAGTCACACTCGAATTGGTGAGACGCACAACAGAAAGCAATGTCTACAGGTCAAAGGATTGCCTGGTCTACATTATGATCTATGTAGACGATCTCCTATTCATAGGAGTACAAAGCATCATCAACACACTGTTCAGCAGAATACAAAAGGAAGTTCTGCTTAGACACACAGGCGACCTAACAGTTGGATCAACAATCCACTTCCTTGGCAGAAACATCTCACACAGAGGCGATCACATCGACATCAGTTTGAACAACAACTATGTTGACATCATCCTGGAAGAGTCAGGAATGACTACATGCAACCCAGCACCATCACCAGGGGTATCACACATGAAAGGTACAGCAGAAGACGAAGCACCACTTGACCACGAACAACACAAACGATACAGGCGGCTTGTTGGCAAGATACAATGGCTAGCACACACACGACCTGACATCAGCTATGGAGCAAAAGAGCTAGCAAGATCATTACAAGCACCAACACAGTTTGACAACAAGAAGCTCAAGCACATGATCAGGTACCTTAAGGGCACAAGGTACATGCGACACAACTTGCGACCAAAGATACAAACACAGGACAAGCGAATACCACTCAACATTGACACATACACAGATGCCAATTGGGCATCATGTGAAACAACGAGAAAGAGCACAACAGGATGTGTACTGTACTTCTTTGGAGCAGCAGTACATTGTGGCAGCAGAACACAAGCCACAATAGCACTTTCATCAGCAGAATCAGAACTGTACGCAATTGGTACAGCAACACAGGAAAGCCTCTACATCGGCAACTTCATAAAAGAAGCATTTGCGGTACGCATCAACATAAGGATACACACAGACAGCAGTGCAGCAAAATCAATATCAATGAGAGAAGGGCACATCAAAGAAAGCAAAACACATCGAGCTACGGCACCTCTTCATACAACAACTTGTCCAAAGCAAAATCATTTCAATGCACAAAGTGAGGTCTGAAGACAACCCATCAGACCTGCTGACAAAGTTTGTCAGCTGCGACACCCTCAACAAGCACTTGTACAACGTTGGCCTGTGAGGCCACACAACACCAGTTTCACACCGTTGCACAGTATGTTAAACAACAGTTGCACAGTTGACACACGTGTATGTTTCACAACTAAACGGCCGGCACACACGTTTTAGCTTTAGGTTAGGTACAGCCATGGACCTGCCCTGGAGATGATACAGCCTTTCTGTTTTTGGGTACGCAACTTTGAGTTCATCTTTGACCACATCTTTTACATCCTCGGGTACATTTTTACTGCATGAGGTTTCATACATGTTTCAGACAATGTCTTTGATACATGTCGCAGCCATTTTACATTTTGTGGAGACACACCCCTGTACATTGAAGGTACACAATGGCGATGTCAGGACTCACAAGGATCGCTGAGTACATCCCGGCCACAGAGGTCACAGTGGCGAGGACATGGGATGCGATGAGCCTTACATCTTTGGGCTACACTGAGGAGAACACACCGGGAAACAGCCCTTGCGTACATTGGATGGGATCCACATGGACACCATCCAGAACAAGACCAACATGATGTACATTGCAATGACATTTGAGGAGTTCACATCTTGGACACAGAATGGCGAACTGAAACACATCCATGGCTGGGCTAGAAGCCCAGAGGTCGAGTACATCGTGTTGAACAGTTCCCCTTTCGAGGCTGTCACAACCCTTCTGAATTACATTTCTGTCGGGACATGCAGGACACAGCACCTCGACACCTTCATTGTGGCCACGGTACAGCTGGATGCGAGGCACATTGCCGAGTGGGCATCCCGCGGCTACATCAATTTCTTCAATCGGGGCTACAGTGCAGTACACATGCAAATTCACATGAACAAGACATGGATGCAGACACAAGACGAGCTGTCTAAACATCAGGTTTTCAAGTACACCGGCAAAAATGGCCTGCTCGGGATCTACATGAAGTTCAACTGGAACACAGGGTACATCTGGTCCCACAACGCCTGCGTGAACCTCGAGCAACTCGCAACAGATGAGGACACATGCCGCAGACATGCCACAGTGGCACAGGCATTGTCCTTGATGGGAGTTGGCAGCATCAAACATCTGCCACCTGCACATCAGGTGACATTGGTGAGGCACATCTCGATGCAGGATGCAAACAGTCTCAACACACGTGGCACGATTGAGGGACAGGCAGTGCCAGGACATCCGGGCCACATGGACTACATCCTCGAGCAGCAGCATCTGTTTTACATGAACTACGCTGCGACCAAGGCACAGGTGTACAATGAGTACATTACAGGAGTGAAGCAGGGATCCACACTGCTTACACAGTGATTGCCGATTTTTGGCACACCGGATTTGTGGACACAAGGTGTTGCAGATACACCTTGCTGACATCAGGTCACACTTGCAGTCTGTACAGCCGCTCGACACATTAGAGGAACCGTTGTACAAATTGAAACAGTCAGTAGAGCTGCTAACAATTTCACATCACCTCGACAAGCTAGAGCACAACTGTTTGTCTTGATGTCTAGGTACATCAATCCAAGGTGGGGTGTTAATATACATCCTCACTTGTACATGCCCTTGCACATCTGTATGATCAAGGCCTTGAGCCTACATACAGTAGAGCTACAGCTTGCCACCTGGAAACAACAGTGCCGCGCTGTCACACACAGGTCTTCAGGTATTTACATCATCAATCCAACTTTAACATATATATCTATATGACATATATATATATATATATATTAAACTATATTACTGTGAAAGCCTCCTGCCCCCACCTAATCCACACACACACGCACACACGCACACGCAAACAAACACCAAACTGATGTTCCCCGGGTGTCACCAGTCGATAAGTGTCAAGGTGTCCTTTATGAAGGGTGCCGTTTACCCCTGATCGCATGATCATGGCTAATCATGGCTTGCAGCATGCACCCTTGTTGCTGACCTGACCAAACGTGTGTGGCATGGCGCAAACTCTTTGCGACCATGGCCATTGTAAGCCATACATTTGGCATCGACAACACAGCCACAAGCTGCTGCAACAGCATCTGGAAGGTTCCAGTGAACAAGACCTTCTGCCTCACCTGCCACCGCCAGGACCAACGCTGCAGTCTCCACTGCGGGGGGGCAGCAGCTTGCGAGTAGCTGTAGAGCCTCTGCGCAGCCGACTGCATCATCCTCAAGTTCCAGCCGTGACAACAAAGGTCCGATGGCCGCGGAGACCACGCGAGGGTCAAGACGATTGAAACTTTGAAGCCTCCGAACGAACCTCCAGGCAAAATGAGGACTCCAAGCACACAGCGCCCAGGACAACATGCCGACCTCATGGACTGTGAAAGAAGAGAAATCAGCCTCACTTTCAACAACCGCCTCCATTAGCGAATCGTGCTGCACTTCAAGCGATGCAACCGACCATGCAATGGCAGCCAAGCTTTGTGCTTCCCATTCAGCAGCATGGCAGCGCAAATCTTGGAAAGCCTTGCTGACCAGGGCATTGACCAAAGACACATCCTGGTCCTCCAGAATTGCTAATGCCCACGCAGTGCCAGCAAGGCCCCGAACATTGAACAAGCCAAGGTTGCGAAGAATTGCAGCTTGGAGGGGCACGTCCACAACACTGAACACTGCGAAAGCCCAGGCGATACATGCCAGCTCCTGTGCAGCAAATTATCCCATTGCCTGCGCGCATGCACTTGACATAATCTCTACCAACGGCATGTCTAGATATCGCAGCGCGGCAACTGCCCACATGATGTTGGCAATTTCCACGGGACCAAGGGGTTCTGCTGTAGCTACCTGTCTAACTAGGAAATCTAGCACGGCCTTGTTGAAGTACTGCACTTCTGCGAACGACCACAGGATGCTGGCTAGGTTCTGCCCCTGCCACACCAAAGCCGGCACCCGTGTGGCAAGCATTGCAAGTGTCGGGTGCGGAATTGATAGGCTTGCCACTGCCCATGCCAAGTTGGCTACTTCACGGGGCCCAAACTGCAGTAGTGCTGCAGCTGCGTGGGCCTGCAGAGAATCCAACAAGGCACTATGAAAGTACCGTAGCTTGGCCAAAGCCCAGAGCGTGCCAGACACTTCCAGCGGCTTGCACTCTTAAACTCGAAAAAGCGTGGCTTGACATATAGCTTCTATCACCGGCATGTCCTTCTATCTTAAAGCTGCTAATGCCCATAATGTATTGGATAAGTGCTGCGTCTCCCAGTCCATGCCACCTGTTGAGTCCAATCTTGCTTGTAAACAAACTGCTTCAAGCAACATCTTGTCATGAAACTGGAGAGTTGCAAACGACCACAACATGTTGGCAAGAGCTTACGGCTGGAACTCATTGAGCCAACAGGTGGCCCGGCTTAGGGCAGCCAGTAGCGGCTCGAAGGGAGCGTGTTGAACCTTGGCGCACGCCCAAGCCATGGCAGCCATTTCGGTGGGCCGAAATCTGAGTTGACCTTAGCCTTAGCGCAAACGGCGCAATGCCTCACTAGCGATTGCATCCAGTACGGGCGTGTGCTCGAAAAGCATGGCGGCAAAGGCCCACATAGTGTTTGCCAAGTGTTGTGGCTCAAACTCTGGGACACGTTGGATGGCAGCCTCTGCCAGGGACTTCAGCAACGGAAAGTCCTTGGACCTGATGTTGGCAAACGACCATGCTGTGTTGGAAAGCTCTTGCGGTGGGAATTCGCCGATGCAGCCTTTTGCCCGGCAGCTCAAGGCCTGCATTACTGCGCTGTCCACGATAGCAACCCTGGCAAAAGACCACGCAGTGTTCGATATATCCCGTGGCTAAAGCTGGCTCATCATGCCCTGCACCTGCACAGCAATGAGCTCAAACATATTCTCACGGCGGTAGCGAAGCTTGGCAAAAGACCATGCGATCATTGCCAAATCTCCCGGCTAAGCCTAGTGGCTCGAACGTGTTTGCGCCATGGCTGTGGCTATGGCATCCAGCAACTTGCGATCCCTGACAGCGAGCCGAGCTAACTACCAAGCTGTGCTCCTCATCTACTGCGGGCTCATGTCAGCAGCCTCGATCAAGGCAGCCCGCTCCGCACAAAGCCCGGCGATGGAGCGTCGCGTGACATGGCGCTAAAGGCAAATCATCCTTGGCTACGGCTACGGATCCCTTCCTGGGCTGGAAGTGGCACACTGCCAGCATCGGAACAACGAGAAACCGAGGGGTTCTCGCTGGAGAAGGCTTAGGAGTGTGGACCAGGGCTTGACAACACACACAGACACACGCGCACAAATGCGAAGCCTTGATGTGAATTGTCAAACAACACCCCGTAGTGCATGGGCTTTCAATGTGCCGAGTCCACCCGAACAGGCTAGCTAGTCACCACTCGCATCAAAACCAAGCAAACAGTTGTGCGAACGAATCCTATCATTTGCACCACATCAATGAATCCGAAGAGGGGCACGCCACATTTGATGTCTGCACTGCAAGCAGAAACTGGGATGTTGCAACTTTCAACATGACTTAGTGAGTGCGAGTTTTGGACATACAAGTCAAGTAGACCCAGACAAGTGGGCAAGAAGCGCAGGGAGACACGAGAAATTGAACACAGAACTTCCCACTGCGGCTTCTCACCACTTTTTGCAGATAACTGAGGAATGAATCCGAGTAGGTCAAGGGCTCTAGGGAACCAGCTCCGGCCTTTCCGTCATCCGCCGCTCCGAGCGGGTCTTCTCTTCCTCAATCGGACCCACCGCACCGCACATGACAACAGAAAACGCGTCATACGCGTCAAAAAAGCAACCCAACACAAACACAAGCCTGACATACGACGTGCAACCCAAAACACCAAAACACTGCCAAATTAATCCGAATCATGAGACGCATGCCACCAAAAAAAGAGTTCCAGGAAATGCATTTGGCATGTCCAAGCTATTCATCTACAGGTGCCAGCCAAGCTCCTCTATCAACACAAGAACATGTTTCGTGGATTACTTTTTGACCCGTGTTCTTTGGAACACAAAGCAAGCCTCCTAAGCATGCGGATCAAAATGGGCGGGGCTCCGCGCAGAACCCATTGTTGCTGTCCCCAAAAGGTCACCCCCTTTGCTGAATTTGAGTCAATGCTGCCAGTCTGTTGCTTACTGAGCCAGGAAAAAGAAGAGGAATTGGAAAAAGGACCACAACGGGGGATGCACCCAAATGACAAACACGTCCCCAGTATCAATCCACCAGGCATTTCTTGCAGCAGTCTGCAATCGGCCTCGGAATGTGGCCGCTTTCCCGTCTCTATTCATGATAAGCTTGCACAAACCCTCCAGAAAGTAACGTGCAAACACCCAACCCCATGTCTCAGCCAAGATGTTCTTTGCCCGCCCAAATGAACATTCTCAAAAGCAAGCAACTAAACACTTCTGGAGTGGAGCATTGCTTTCACCACAACGATCTTAAACGGTATGCAGTCCGGAAACTTGGAACATGCAGTTGACTCGGCTGGAAAAAGGCGGGCCAAGGCAAAACTCAAGGTGTCCTGCCCAGTGGTGAAATCCCTTGCTGGTTTCGGAATGACCCCGAACCATCCTCCTAGTTTCCTAGGGGATCGCCTTCTGGTTCATTCCCAAACTGCGGCAATCCCTCAAACAATCTCCAAACTTAAAGAGAGATCTCAGACCAAGTGGGTACATTCCAAAACCCTAAACGTACCCTGATACTTAATTGAGAACCAACCAGGAATTGGTAGGTTGGATAGGGGGGATCAACCCATGAACTGGCAAGATCCAAAAACAAAACCATACCATGAACCTTGGTTCCTATCCCGCGGCTATCCTTCCCAAAGCCTCGCCTCCAAGGCTTGCAGCCGCCCGGCCATTTGCTGCACCTGCCCCATCACCGCCTCCAGCTCCTGGCGAAGTTTTCGTGTTTTTTGCCGCTGTCTTGGATGCGACCCGGACCCAAGGCCGGGTTTCAAATTACCCTCCCCCGCACTAACATGGAAGCTCCCAGGACCCTGGAAGACTTGGGCCCATTTACAGCGGCCTTCTGGGAGCTTCCATGTTAGTCGGAGGGAGTGTAGCCACAAACCGCGAAAAAACTGAGCCCTGGGAAGGGACCTTCGGCTCGTTTGCCCAATGTCATGCGAATCATGTGGGTAGAAAGTAATTGATACCGTGGATACCGCGCCAGACGGGTCTGTCCAACCTCAGGACTTTCCTTGGCGGTGAAACGCCGTGTCAACTTAAAGGGTAAGTTGGGAGGTAGGAATCTCCCAGGCCTTTTGAATTATGCCCTGTTGGATCTCACCCCACTTCGCTATCGTCCTTTAAGCTCAAGCTATATCCTTCATCCATGCAACAGGTGATTAACATCCGTAGCCTCTTACCAAAACAACAGTAAATTGCATCCACCAAAGGGCTCAGGAGCGCAAAAGCTCATGCAGGTTTATGAAAGCTATCCTTGTTTGAAATTATGTTAAGGCATCACAGACAGAATGAAATCTCACAACCCACAGTTGAAAAAGTAACTTGTGCCCAAACATCCAGCGCTTTTACATGTCACTCGCTTCGTAGACAGCTCGCAGGACCATGCACCTGGCCAGTCGTTTTCTCCGGAATCTTCTGAATCACTGTGCGTCCCGAAAAGAGAAGATGCCGTGGACAACACACCAGCAGCTGCAGGCTCCTCATCTCGGCGCTCGAACCTCCGGGATCGCATTTCAGGGTGCCATTTATGGGGTCCATGGGGTCCCGGGTGTTCCGGGTGTCCAAGTCAACTCGTCTTGCACCGGTCTCAAACTCTGATGGCCTTCAAGTCTCTTCGCTAAAGTGTTGATAACCAAGCACCAACACACACACACAACTATGATCATAAGGCTTCTGCCCCCTGACGCACACACACACACACTCTTACAAGTCAATTTTGCCCCTCAAGCTGCTAAAAGCGCGGCTGCCAGTTGCCATCGAAACGCCATCCAAACACTGATTCCAAACACACAATCATTGACCAGCGAAAGATGCAACAAGCTGCCAGAAACCTGCATCCCGGTGAGCTGGCAACCTTGCTGTTGAAACTAAACGGGTGGATTGTTTTGTCGGGACTCGGGCTGCGAGCTTGGCTTCTGCTCAGAACTGGAACCAAGCCTCCCTGATACCCCGTTGAACCCAAAGAAACCCTCTTCCCAATACCCGTCTTGGACCCCCCGGCCGGGATTCCACAAAGAGCAAATCCAATCGAGTGCCAAACACACACACACAAAAAAAAAACGGTGCAGCATGTCCAAGCGAGAGCTCCTCGGAACTCACACGTTCCACTGTGACTGCGCGATCTATACCCAGCTGACTGCTTTTGTTAAGCTCCCATTTGGCCTTTCGGTGGGTCAATCAGGTGTGTGTTTACACTCAGGCTTGGACAAATTTGCTCAGTGTTTCTCTGCATAGCGATTTAAGGAAGAGAAGCAATCAGCCGCAGCTTGGCCTCGGGTCAGCAGATCAGCTAGAAACACACAGCAAATAAGTGACTATGCAACGAACGCGAAGCGGGATCGAGCAGAGACACGTTCCAAAACACTCATTTTGGGGGTCCCCTAGAATGTACATTTTAAGAGAGCCCCTTGACGTCCGGGGTCTTACACCGACTTGTCGAGAAGCTATACAAATGGTTCAAGCATCACATCCTTGTAGATTGTTTCGGTGGGTGTGAAAGGAGAGGGCAAACACAGATCTTTACATCCCCTGCAGTCTCCCAATTTGTGAGCTTATTTCAGGCTTGCCTGCAATACATGGATGCTTGCAGGATTGGTAAAACCATAGCCCTCTGTCCAGTCTTGGAAGTGTCAAAACACTTTTTCGACAAAGGGGGCAAAAGCCAAAGACCCTGACAAGTTGTTCAGAACCTTCATATAAGGGGTTCTTATCGAAGTGTGACAACCTTGCTGAAGGGTATATAGAGGTCGGGAGTGGCAGGATGTCTTGTTTTCGTACCAGGTTAAAAAGGGAAACCACATTTCAGGAACGCCACCGTGTTTTTTCTTGCGGGGGGAGTAACCCTCATGTAAGCGCTTCTATTTGGGGGGTAGCGGGCTAACCGGTAAAAATCAAAGAAGCAAGTTTCCGTGTCTCAAGAAGCTCCTGGCCTCTGCGATGCCGGCGACGGAAAGGCGTCGGGCAAGGATCTGCTGGGCTCTTCCCACCTGCCGCGCGCGAAGCGGATTGGGGTCCGGCGGCGGTCCGGACGACGAGAGCACGAGTCGAAGTGCAACCAGACGAAACGGGAGCAAATCAAATCGACCCTTCAGCTTTGCCCCAAATTTGGCCCCGGAGACTTGGCCCTCAGATTGAACCCTTTACACAACACAATTTGGCCCTTGAGTCGATGTGTGTGAATGATAGTCAAACAAAGGTAGATGGGCCACGAGATAGCCAGGTGGTCAGTTAGTTTCAGTGAACCCACTGAATCTTGTAAATCCCAGTGCTAGCTTTGGTGGCAACTTTATATGGGCGTTGGTCGAAATTATTTTGTCTTTTTTTTGGCCTTCCGGCGCCCTTTCGCGAAACTTGCGCTTTCTTTCGCGCCCACAGTGGGGCGCACATGGTCGAGCCCTGTTAAATACATGCAAAACGCCCCACGTACTGCACTCACTCCCCACCACGTCTGTTGGTAGTCTCTGCTGCATTGATAGAGTACTTCAAAATTGATCTTGGGAGAATAAACGCTACGCTGCAATGGCATGCTAGTTAGTGACTGTGTGCGTGTTGTCTCCTGATTTGCACACATACTGCACACACATGTATCCCACACACGTGTGTTGCCTTGAGAAATGCCAATCCCTCAACTTGTGTTGGCCACAACCTTTGAGGCCTGTGCAACACATGCGGCTGAACAAATCACGGCAGGGGCTACGTCCAAGATGCCGCGGCAGGGCTTGCCTCAGACAACCAGCAGGCTAGCGTTTGGAACCGCCCAAAGCAGGCCAAAGCTTGAGGACAGAACGTGAACAACAGGTGCAACTCGTGCATGGCGACAACATCAAGGCACCCATAGCCACAGAAGCCCGTTGTTCTTGTCTTGCATGTTACTATCACATGCTTCAGCAAGCCCCTTTTGGTGTGCGCGAACTCTCAGTTGGGAATGTATTTTTCAAAGCGCAGAAGCATATCTTGGAATTCTGGAATTCGCCTCATTGAAACAGGGGTTCCAGAAGGAAGCCCAGCCGCCAGCACCGCTGATGCGCATCAAAGGCCTTGAACTTCAACCCCATTTCCCGCAGTCTTTCAGAGCAGTCCTTGTCAGCTAGGGCCGAGAACCCTCGTGCCCATGCAGTGTTTTGACATCAGCCAGCATCTGTTTATGCTAGCGGACTGGAAACCGTACGTGCACCCGAGAACATTCCGGTTGACAGGCATTGGGTTGGGGAAAAAATGGGGGGAGGCAAAGCATCTTGACATTTGACCCAAGACCTCTGGTTGGTTCCTTTACCAAAACAAGGAGAGGGAACTAGATTCGAGTTGCTCTTGTCCTTGTGGGTTAACAAAACTGAAAGACCTTCATGGGAAGGCAAAGAAGTGGACCTTGAACCCATCTTCACTTATACGAAACCCGACGAGTCCTGAAAGCTTTCGTTTGGACCCCGAGTTCCCCAATTTCCACACCTCAACTTGCGCCAATGGGGTCTTAAAGGACTTTCCCTCCAAAATCCATCGTTCGGCCCCTTGCACTCGAATCGTCATCCGAACATCGAAGTCCGCCGGGGTTTGCAGCAGGGGTCGAAATCCCCAACGAAGTGTTGCTGACTGTTGTGAAGGTCCCCTTTTTGCCCGTGGCGCGTAAGGTTGACAGCTTGCCATGGAAAACACAAACGCGCGGTTTCAGTCCACCGGGGTGTTTATGCACAACAAAACACCATGGCTTGCCTTTCTCAATCAAAACGTCGTCGCCACAAGTCAGTGCCGCTTGTGGGGGAATCTGTCTGTGACAAGGTGTGACTATGCCCTGCCAAAGCACTCAAGAAGCAAATCATCGCAATGCCCGCTCTTGTTCCCGCTCGTTCACTCAGGCTGGCTTGTGAAAACCTGCGGAAAGGCAAACACTACACCTCAGCGGTACCCGTCTTTTTTGTACCCCTTTGGCTTTTCATAACCCAAGAGCGAACACCAGCTGAAACCGACTCCTTCCCATCAACGTCCAGCGCCCACTCCCCAGTATCTCTAAGGCCTGAGCGCTCCCGGCTTCGTTGGCCTCACAAGCTGACTTTCAGCTTCGCGAGATGTGTGGCTAGCTGGTTGTGCATGCGGTAAAATGATGGTGCCTGACCCGTTGGGGATACTGAATCCTCTCCAATCACCCAACTGATCACGCAAGGCTGACTTTCAAACAACACTATACATCCCAACACGCTCTAGTTCACATGCGGGTCAAGAGGACATTGATCAGATTGCTTTGTTTTTTGAAGCTGACTGCAGTTTAGCTGGTGGGTTTCTGCAAACAAATGCAGAATACTATGTGAGTTCCCAGGCGGGTTTGATGAGTGCTTGAGTCGCGTACCTGGTGAAATCCCATGCCAGCACCCGCCCCCCCTAACCACTGTTTTTTGGACCGAATTTCTTGGCGGGGAAAAAGCACTGTCCAAAATCCCAGGTGTCCAAAAAGCAGTGGTTGGGCGGGTGTTGGCATGGGTTGTCGTGATCTTGCTGGAACCCGGGGATTCCCAAATAAAGGAACCCAAATCGGGGATGGTTTTTCCCGGGGCCATTCGATTTCTCCTTCCCAGTGGTTTATCCCCGAGGGTTCCTACAAACTAGTTGGTTGGCCGTTGGTTGGTACGTTAGGTAGTTGGTGGGCGCTTTCTTGATTTTGCTGGTGCTCAGTAGGGAATGTGGGAATGAACCCAGGTGTCCCCTGAAAGGAAACCATAAAGGATTGTTTATAGGGGACATTCCCTCATTCCCTGCTGAGAATGAGCAAGTTATGCTTTCTGAAAGGCTGTCTTCCTCTCAAGTCGGGCGACTGGTCCCCCAGACCCTGGACCGGCCTCTGGCTTGCGAGGTCTCAAAGGCCTCCTGCGGACGGGCCGTCACCTGTTTCCCAAGGGGGACATTATATATATAGAGACAGAGATACATAGATATATGCACATACGTAAATAATACTAGGACGGACAACAAGAACAACCATAATAATTAATAATAACAATAATGGTAATAGTACTAGGAATAATAATAATAATAATAAGAATAAGAATAATAGTAATAATAATAATAGTAATAATAATAGTAAAACATAATAAATAATAAACAATAAATAATAATAATAAAAAGAAAAGAAACAACTAATAATAATAATGATAGATGATAATGACAATAATAATCACAATACATACTATGTATAAACTTATACATATATAGTATGTATAAACATACATATACCTATATATATAGTATGTATAGCCTTAATATATATATACATATATATATATATATGTCCATATGTATATAGTATGTTACACAATTCACAGAAATAAATTTGCGGTTGCACTCATGGGCTAGTCAGTCATCCTGGATTGTTGATGAACATTTAGTTAGTCAATCATGTGACTCCAAAATTGACCGCAGACTAGTGGCATGCTGACCGAACTTCGCATATCTGTGGTGCAAACTGATTCATCGTTTTTATAACTACAATATCTACGTCATGTTCGCTAGCTGGGTCTTGTGGAATACTCGTTGTATCTACCTGAGGAGATCACCCTGCAAATGTCGTCACTTTCGTGTAGCTCCTCGTTCCAAACAAGCTTGCTGATGTTGTGGTGTAATCCAGCAGGCATCGCAACTGTGGCTGAGGGCATTTCCGTTAAACACATTCGACCCCACATCCGCAGTTCCGATGGAATGGAGTCTGTACAATTGCATTGCAACCTGCATGCTTCCCTGCTTCCAGACTGCCGAAGCGCTCATGCTGCATTGTGTATCTATCTATCTATCTATCTATCTATCTATCTATCTATCTATCTATCTATCTATCTATCTATCTATCTATCTATCGGTGAATGGAGGAACCAAAGATGGGTGACTCCGGCCTCATGGACCGCCATCAAGTGGGCCGACTCGGAGCTCAAGGTGGGAATTTCTGCGATTCTGCACAGTCGGGTTGGGGAAGCTCTACAGCTGGAACAGGACGCCAACGAGAGAATGATGTTCTTCACGAAGAGCACGTTGAGTATGAACGGTGGCCGGCGATGGAAAGGGAACCCAATGCAGGAAGTCTTCCCCGGAAACTGGTTTAGAACAATGTCAGAGATTCTTCGATGAGGGCGTGGAAATCTGCCAGTTTGTGGATGACCTCGTGGCAGCGGGTCTTAGGAGAGAAGCAGAAGCCGCAAGGGACAACTCCCAAGAGGGCCACAACGGTGGCCTGGAGGAGCTCGGCGATGCGCCGGACCATGAGTTCGAGTGCCTCGATTGTGCGCGAGTTCCCCCGGGGTCGGTGAAAGGAAAGAGGGACGGAAGTCCTCGCAGGTGAACGAGACGGACAGGTGGCGGTTTACAATGTTCGAGAACGAGTGCGCTACCACCAAGAGATAGAGCGAAGATCCGAGGAGAGATGCGAGTTCCTGCAGAAAGCCAACAGTGGTGGATCTCTGTAGGGGATTGAGCAGCTTGGTGGCGAGGAGAAGGAGGGAATCCGGACCTACGGAAGAAGAATCCTGGAAAAAGGAGTTGGAAGACGAAGAGGATGACGAGTTCTCCTTGGCGGGAGAGGTCGGAGAGGAGCTTCTGGAACCAGTGACCACAACCTCAAGAAGTAGATGTCAGGCGAGAGTGGCGGCGGCAGGTCCAATTGACTTAGGATCTGGATGAGTGCAACCAACAAATGCCAACTACCGGAGGTGGAGTGACCGCTGGTGTGGCGGGACAACAGGTGGACTGGGAGTGGCACCGGCTGTTAATGGAGGAAATCAATCCCTGGCACGTCGACGAGAGCGTGGAGCGGGAGCAGCCTTCGTCAGACGGAATGAGCAGATTGGCCATGATTGGATCGTCGGATTCAAGGCGGATATGGCGGGGGAATTGGGCCAAGCTCTGCAGGTTCGTTCTGGCCCCATCCCAGGCGAAGGTCCTGACCATGAGCCGAATCCGGCTGAAACGTGAAGGCAGAGCCCAGACGAACTCAATAGGTCTTGGAGCAGGATGGACACTCCGTCGACTGGGGCGGTGAACGCGAGGCGTGGTAGGCATTCCCACCCTTTACATCAATTTGCAGCCTGGACAAAAGCCTACAGAGCTTCGTTGGGCCTATAGCTACCGGGTGGTCGGAGTGTGGTAAATCCGACACTCGTGATATCCTGTCTGAATAAAATTTCGGGGCAGCTTTTGCCCATGTTAGAACTGGTGGACCCTGCAATGGGTGGTTTGCTTCTAGATTCCCTCTGAAACAACCTCCTCCATGAAGACACACTCAACTGTCGCAAACACAAGAGCTATGAGTTTCATAAGCCAAAGACAGCCAACGACACAAGCGCCCCAGCAGTCCTTGCTTCGCGCTTAGCGAAGGTTGCCTGGCGTGTGAGAGAAAGGTAAGCTTGCAGTGCCTGTCTTACCAGGAGGGTGCGGACGTATGTTTTGTTGAGGGTACCTTCAAGTTGGTTCGGTGGGAAACCAACAGGACCACTGCAATTTTCAAGGAACCCCAATTTTTGACACCTACTCCTATGTGGTTGGTCCATTTCTGTTTAACAACAAAACAACATGGACCCCATCAAAACCCTGATGTCTCGCAGAATCACACAGCTGCATTGCCCCAAGGTTCACGGGGTGTCATGCTCCTAACATCCCAGACCTCACACAAAACCCCGCGAGGTGCCTTCAGGCCACAAAAAAAAAGCTTCGCAAAGTGCAGGCAGATCAACAAATATGTTCGGCGAAGGTCAACAGCCACGGGTCTAGGTCAATTGAAGCGACATCCTCAAAATGACCCTCTGAATGGTGCAAAAAGAGAGAGCCCCGAACATGTTCACTTTCTGGGATCCGGTTGGTATACAGCTAAGGTGTCACGAGGCAAGCAACAGAACTCACCCCCGTCCTTCTGTCGCTGCCTCGGGCCCGGGGACACCTCGTGAGGCCGCCGCGCGCAAATCGATGTCATTTTCCGTAGCCTTCACATCGAATTGTGGGCAAGCGTCCTTCCGTAGAGAGTCACCAATTTGCCATCTTATCTGGTATCCATGAGCTTCTCAGAACTCCCAAAGGCACTCCAACACAAAATTGCTCGTTGGTCCGTAGCGAATCCAACATCTTGGCCATGGCGCCAGCCTCCGGACTGATTGCCTCCTCTCCTGGCTCATCTCTGCTCACAGCACTGCGCGCTAGTCTTCCGGCAACTGAGTTCATTGCCGAGCAATTTGGTAACCCTCAACTTGCTATACCCGAATCAGCTACCTTTGCAACATCCCGGGCGCTTGGGAGGGCGTGCTAATCAGTTGGGCCTGGATACAGCCCTGGGCGGACGCAATTGAGCGCGAGCGCTTGTCATTTGCTTATCATTTGGTAGGGATACAGTGCTGAGCGGGCGACCTTAAGCGGGAGAAAAAAAAAGCACTTGAGCAGGAGTGCCAAATTTGACAAGTGCAAATACAGCGCGGGGTGGACGCACTTCAGCGGGTTTCATTTCGCAGGAGTGGATACGGCCCTAAGCAGCCGCAGTTGAGAAGTATTTGGTAGGCGTGGGTCGAATGCTGAAGCTGTGCTTATCATTTGGCATGCGCGGACACAGTGCAGAGCGGGCATTTGGCCGGCGTGGATAATTGCAGCGCAGAGCGGACGAGCTACGGCGGCTGCGCTTATCATTTGGCAGGCGTGGATACAGTGCAGAGCGTGCGCGCTTGAGCGGGTGTGCTTATTTATTGGCAGTCGTGGATCGAACGCTGAAGGTGTGCCAGGCCTGGATAATTTTAGTGCAAAGCAGACGCGCTAGGGCGCGTGTGCTTTGGCATGCGTGGATACAGCGCAAAGCGGATGCTCTTTTGAACGGGTGGGCTTATCATTTGGCAGGCGCGGATACAGTGAATATTTTCTGCAATGATGCTGGTGGCAGTGGCCCAGGAAGAAGCGAGACATGCAAAAACCTTGAACATTTGCGGCAAACCGTTCCGCAGTCCCAACAGGATGGTAGACATTCCTACAGCCATTCCCGGAAATTCCCAGAACCCGACGCCATTCCTTCCAAAAGAATGCCCGTCCGGCAGCCCACTCAACGCGATGCGCCACGCCTTCGAAGTCGGCCGCCTGTTTCGTCAAAAAACAAGGCTCCCAAATGGGGCTTGGTTTCAAAAGCCCCAAACAGGGTACCATGGACAAGGCACCTACATGTGGGTTGTGAAGCATTGTTGGTCTTCAAGTCTGCCTGTGCATGTGCCAAGGCCGGTAGTCCAGCCAAATAACTGTTTCCCAAAGGGCTCTGATTGGCAAGCGGGCACATGGATCTGGTCCACTGACAATGCCACTTGCAAAATTCATAATGCCGCTTGCTGGAGGTTTGTAGAGCCGTCTTCTAAAAAAAATGGGTTCGATGGCAATGTATTCCCCACCCTGGAGCCACGCATGGGGATCAGGATTCATAAACTCCGGGGGAGTGTCCCATTCCGGAGGGGATCCATCACCATGATAATCCGCCTGGTTCATTCCGGAACCTGTCCAAAATTGTAGGCGTTGGCCAAAAAAAACACGTGTTTTTTTGCCTTTAATGTGAAAAAATGCTTTTAGGGCGAAAAAACACCGGCGGTCATATTTGTTTGCGCCGCGGTTGGGCATGTTCGCCTGTTGGTCGGAAATGTTCGCCTGTTGGTCGGGAATTTTCGCCTGTAGATTCGGGGAGATTGCGCCTAACACCCAAATTGAGCAAAAAAGGCCGTAGGCAAAAAACACGCGCAATTGCGCCAAAAAACAATTCGTAGCGAAAAGGCGGAAATTTTGAGCATGCAGGAAGGTCCAGGTTTATGCGAGGTGAACCCTGTCCTGGTTTGTCAACTACCAACCTGCTTTTGTCAGCCAAAAACCCAAAGGTAAGACGGCTTGAGGTCCAATAAACAGACGACTTGAGTTTGGCCCCCAAACCCCTCCACAAACCCTCGGAAAGAAAACAACAAACTCAGGTTTGATCCCCGTACGGCTTCAGCTGCCCGCCTGAACTGAGTCTCGGCGGTCCTCATTCGCAGGGATTGGGGACTTGCTGCCGTCATCCTGCAGATGGGCACACGGATGGTTGGCAACATCGTCTTTCCGAGTCTAACAAAGCCTAACTGCCAGACAAATAGGCAAAAAAAGCAGTCTGCTACAAACTAGAAGCGACATACACACACAAACAAACAACTCAACTAACTCCACTCCCTCACGGAATGCTTCACTGTGCAAAGTAGCGGTGTGCAAAGGGCAAACGCCTGCAGCGGGCGGTGGAACGGGTCAACGGGTCCGGTCCTCGCGCTGAGCTGCGGGTCGACCTCGATGAACAAGTCGATCCTGCAAAGTTGGAAAGTCTGAAAGCTTGGCATATGGTGCCTCAGGCTACCCCTTTTAGGCTTGATTCAAAGGGAAACCAAGGCAAACCACCCGTTCTGGCGGTTCCCTAATTTAGAGACACACTCATCAATGGAAGCCTGAGTCCTGTTATTTTGAGTATAGCCCTCACAACCCAGTGCCGCAAAAGCACATGAATCAAAGGCACATGTTCGCAGGTTCTCACCCAGCATTCATAACGCATAACACCCAAAGTCCCAACCTGCTCTTGCACCATCTGCAAAACACACATCATCATCTGAACGGTTCGCCGCAGACAATATCCAAAGGTGTCTGGTGGTGTCTTTCCAACACCAAGACACTTCAGAAAAGGTGCATGACAGGTTGGAAACCCAACACTTGCATCGCACGCTCTTGCAGGAGCTTCTTTATGTAGTGGTCCATTCCGCCACTAAAATCATCCAAACGTCTCTGACAAAACATGGCCGCGACAGGTTGTCGACGGCACAAGCCCAGAAGGCACCATATTGTGTTTACTGTGAACCGCCAGCAACGTCTTTTAAGATGAGCAAACATGAGGCTCAGGACCCAAGACAATGCGAAGCTGAGCAAACGCCTGGCGGCAGTGGAGTCTCAACAGGCCGGCAACTTTCCTCGCTAACCGTTCGCGTCGCATTGAAAAGGCTCCTGCAAGCCACAACAATTGCATGCGAACAAATGAAGAAAATAAATGCCACGGATTTTAAGCTCCATGAAATGACACGGAAAACGGACATCCGGCCCTTTAGTGTGAAGCCAAAGCTGCGGACCGCACGTGACACCCTGTCCTCAATCTCCTGGTCTCTGGAAGGTCGGCGACGGTCGCCATGATTCTGCCGGGTAGTGCCGGTTCAACTTGTTTGCTCATTTTAAGATTCGGAAACGTAAAGAATAGGGCAGATAGAGGGAGCCTAGGAGCCTGAATGGTCCAGGCAACTTGGGATTGTTCGGGGTAGGAAACATCAATCAGCTGCCAAAGGAGCATCAACAGAACGCGGAACCAATGGGGAAGGAACAAAGGAAATCCCCACATGTTCTCACTTCGTGAAGCTAAGGTGAAGAAATGCCCTTGTTTTTCTGCCTTCGAGGAGCGAACCAGTCCTCTTTCAAGAGCGCTAGCTTTCCTGCCTTTGACTGCCAGCAAATGAGCGTCTCATAGCTTGGCCACAGGACGCATCTTGACCAGCCGAGCACAAAACATGGGATGCGCTCTGAGGCTGAGCTGGAACTGTCTCGGTTTACGAAAAAAACGACTGGCAGGAAGGTGCCGGAAGTCAAGCATTCCTGTGGAACACCTCCACCTAGAGTTAATCCTGGCTCAAGATCCCAAACCTCTGCCCCATCATTTCTGGGCCACAAATGGGCAAACTCGCCAAAAAAGTCCAGCCCTGTCCTCAAGCTGCTCCTGCGGGTCTCTGGCAGGACGTCGTTGAACGACAAAATCCTGCAAACTTAACGGAAGTTTGACCAGACTGCGCGCACTCGTGTCTCGCAATGAAGCGCTGGATGCCCAATAGACCGGATAAGTCAGAAAACTGTCTATTCGACAAATTTGCGGATTCGGTCTACTCTTGTGACTATTGGTTAGAACTTGTTAGCTTAAAAAGCCGCAGTTTTGGACAAGCCAAGCCCGCACTGTCCCCGTGGTTCTAAAAGCAACCTTTTGCGCGATCGGCCAGCCAGTTCGCAAAAAAGGAGTGCCGGGCAGCTTGTTGCGCCCGGCGGCGAACTTATCCAGCCAAGGCAAATCACTAGCAAAAAGCCGAGCTTTTCTCGTAGTTTGCCCGCAGTTTTGCCACACTTTGCGTAGACCTATGTCTATGAATTCGGTCTACTCATGTCTACTCTATTTTGTCTGAATCGCATCTTTCGACATGTCGATTCTGTTTCAAAACTTGTCGATTCGGTAGTTGCTTCCTGTCGATTCGATTTGTTTAGACTATTAGTTTAATTTCGGGGCTACTTTTAAGACAGTTTTTTCGGTCTACACGGATTTTGTCTAAAACTATAAATGAGTTAGATCTAATTCAATGATGTCGGGATTCGGCCGCTTTTTGTCTAACCTGGTCTATTGGGTGCTAAGACAATGCCCGAGTTTTTGTGTATGAATATACAGTGTATACGCATGGTTATCTTTCGGAATGTATGTAGATAGTGACACTCAGCTCAGCGATATTTACTTGTTGCGCAGGCGATTGTGGGATGGGCTCTCCAACATTTAACTGACAGAACATTCCAATCATTCCAACACCAAAGCTTAAAATGGAAAACTCCAACTTCCTCACCCAAGCTTGCAGCCAAAAGTGGGATCCTATAAGGGGTTGTGCAGTCAAAGGGGTAACCCTCGGGTTTCTCATCAACATGGGTTGTTGGGTGAACAACCCGGATTCATTCACATCTCTGTACATATCAAGGTCAACATATTGTCGTACACACACATCAGGGGCCCATGTATGTTCATGATTCGACGAAGGCTCATAATGTCTAAAAGCTTACTAAGGCTCACTCACGCCACCATATCATTCCCAAGCCTCATTCCACGGTAAAACCTTAAAGATCTTGGTTGCAATGTTGAGTGACAGCTATGCAAATCACAATTTTTCTGACCCCCCATTCCCGGCTGACGCCGCTTGCTGACGCCACCCTGCTGACGCAATGCATTCTCGGCTGGCGTCGCGTTCCCACAACACACTCTCTGGTTCGCCGCATTCTGACGCCGCATTCTCTGACCCCACGCGACCACGTGACGCCGCACTCCGAGCTGGCGTCACCTTCCCTGACACCGCAACCCCCCCCCCCCCGCATTCCCGGCCGAGGACGCAGGTTCACGCCACGAGCGCCCAAGTTTTGGACCGTCACGCGCTTGTAAACATTTTGCCTTTCGCGCAATGAAAGAAGCAACCGCAGCTGATGCATGCTGAGCTTCATTGAAAAAGCGCCCAAAAGATCCTGCTGTCATCGTTTGCTGATGAAAATCCAGCTATCATCGTCGGGAAGCTGTTCGGTGACTGTTAGTGACGCGCCTTCTCTGGGGTTTTCACAAAACCTCTTGTAGATGATCTCTTATGCAGAACAATGGGCAGTGACGTTGGCAAAACGCACGCCGACTGTGACTGCGTCTCCGCCATGGCAAGCCTGTGGCAGGCCGCGCCAAATACGCGCGCCGCTGCTCAGATAGGGCGCTCGGAACTGCAGAATCCACACTTTTTGGCACTCAGGCGGCCGTCATTCGGCCGACATGTGCTCGTGGCCAACGTTGCATCTTAGCGAGAAACCGAAGCCGGCGCTGCCACCCCTTCCCTATAGTACCCCGTGCGTGCATCTTGGACATTGCATTTTATCCAAAAACCCTGGAATGGTGGCCAGCGAAAGCAACCTTGGGAACTCGGCGCGCGAGTACTTGCCGCGTAAGTGCAGGGACCCTGAAGCTCGGCGAAGCAGCTGATGCATGGCAGCAATGGTCGCTGGCACCACTGCTCACTGACAGTCTGAAAAAATAAGCTAATGCTGCGCCAGGCTTTCGTCCGTGGTTTCGGTTTTCTGCGCGCAGAAAACGCTAACCCTTTTCTAGCACGCTTCCTAAGTTCAACCTAAGTTCAACCTAATTTCCCCGGAAGTTCTTCGGCGTGAAACACGTTAACTAACAGACAAGTGCCACCTAAGTAGCAGAACTAACTTCTGGGTACATATAGCAAACTCGTCGAACTTAGCGAACTTAGCAAACTTACAAGCTAACTTGCAGAACTTATAAGTTATGTTATAAAAAGCTTGTAAGTTCCCGAAGTTCAAACCAGCTATACAGTACTCAAAATCGAAGAAACTGGCGCCCCTGCGTGCTTTTTGTTTAAGGCTTGCAAGTGACTCAGCGCTATGTGCGCAGCGCTGCCCTTGCAGTTCTTGCATAGCACCAGCAATACGCGCGCTGAGCGCCTCTGTCAGAATCCTACTCGGCTAAGCAGGGCTTTCACCTCGCCTTCGCTCGAGTCCACGGCACACCCGAGCTTCTCAGGCCAGGCATTCTGGCTTGAAAGGCGAGGATCTGGCATTGCCATCCCGCCACGCCGCGCCACGCGCAGTTGACGTTCACTCTTGACTGGGGATGTCTGGGCACGCGCTTGTCCAGAAGCAGCGTGAAGCCTTGGGAGCTTGACAGCACTATCGTTGTCACCACCTTGGTCGGCCAGCCCAACTACGATCTCAGAAGCTCACGCAGCGATGCGAAATATACGACGATCAGGGTGTGTCCCAGGAGTCAGAGGTCGATCAGCATGGCAATGTGAAGCTAGTCGGGCACAGCACGGCGCCTGCGGGTGTGGCCAGAATTGATACTTTTGAGGTCCGTGTGCTCAACTGAATTCGGCCTGCCCGCGAACTTGGCTTGCGTCATTGCAGTCATCCGCGCTGCTGTTCCAGCAGAAGACTGAGGTCTCTGGGGCGCTGCACCACTGCGGAACAAAGGAAGCCTCCTCAAGCAGTCGGACACCGTGTTGCCAAAGCAAGTCAAACGAGTGCGTTGCTCTGATATGCACCGCTCGTACCTTGGGTACGAGAAAGCACTTGCCACAGTCAGTGGCCTGTGGAAACAATGCCGATCAAGCGCTCATGTTCGCAACCCTTTGCGCAGTTTTCACTCCCTCATTTAGGAATCCAAGGGTTTAGAAAGAGAGACTAACAAACAAACCAACACACGAATAAACAAACACACAAAAACAAGCAAACAAACAAGCAAACCACCGCACCAAAAAATCAAACACAAAGACACACACACACAAACAAACAAACAAACAAACAAACAAACAAACAAACAAGCAAGCAAGCAAGCAAACAAACACGCAAACAGGCAAACAGGCAGGCAGGCAGGCAGGCAGGCAGGCAGGCAGGCAGGCAGGCAGGCAGGCAGGCAGGCAGGCAGGCAGGCAGGCAGGCAGGCAGGCAGGCAGGCAGGCAGGCAGGCAGGCAGGCAGGCAGGCAGGCAGGCAGGCAGGCAGGCAGGCAGTGCAAGCAAGCAAGCAAGCAAGCAAGCAAGCAAGCAAGCAGGCAAGCAAGCAAGCAAGCAAGCAAGCAGGCAAGCAAGGCAAGCAAAGCAAAGCAAAGCAAAGCAAGCAAGCAAGCAAGCAAGCAAGAGAGCAAGCAAGCAAGCAAGCAAGCAAGCAAGCAAGCAAGCAAGCAGGCAGGCAGGCAGGCAAGCAAGCAAGCAAGCAAGCAAGCAAGCAAGCAAGCAAGTAAGCAAGCAAGCAAGCAAGCAAGCAAGCAAGCAAGCAACCAAACACGCAGTCAATCAACCAAACAAGCGTGCGAACCAAACCAACAAAACGAAACGGATGAACAAACAAACAAACAAACGACCACGGGAAGAAACACAACTAGCAAACAAGTGACAAAACAGCAAACTAACTAACTAGAAAACAACCAACAAACAATGGACAAAGAAACAATCAAACAAATGAACAAATAAACAAACACACAAGCCAATATACAAACAACCAAGCAAGCAATCAAGGAGGCAATCAAGCAAGCAAGAAAACACACAATAAAGCACCACGAGGCCGTGAAGCATACCACGCGCGCAACAAGAAACGCAAGGGACGCGGGCTAATGCCCAATGCGGCCCAAGCGAGAAGAAAGGATGATCGGAAAATATTGCTTTCAGCAGAAGTCAACAAGTGCTTCGATTTGCCGTGCCAAAAGCTACCAAAGAAATCCGTTCAAGAAGCAGCTAAGTTGAAAAAACAATTAACCGGTTTGTACAGGCCAAATCGCGCTTTGCATCATGTCAACAAATATAAACTGCATACAACAACTGCTTCTTCAACCATGTGTACCTAACTAGAAAGCGGTGGTTGCGGGGTGCCGCCTGGCTCGCACATGGCCATCTCAAAATCCTATGCAGCCAAGTACACTAAGTACACCAATCAAAACAGCCAGTCCTCAAGCGGCTCCTGCTGGTCTCTGGCAGGGGGACGCCGTTGAACAACATAATCCTGGAGGCTCAGCAGGATACTTGACACAACCTGCACACATGCATACGGAATGTAAAAAGCCTCAGTACTTAAAAGCGTGTCTTCCTACATACCTGGACCTTCCGGAGGTCCAAAATTTTGGGCGTTGGCCAAAAAACACGTGCTTTTTGCCTTTAATGTGAACAAAATGCTTTTAGGGCGAAAAAACACCGGCGGTCATATTTGTTTGCGCCGCGGTTGGGAATGTTCTCCTGTTGGTCGGGAATTTTCGCCGCTTGGTCGGGAAATTTCGCCTGTAGATTCGGGGAGATTGCGCCTAACACCCAAATTGAGCAACAAAAAGGCCGTAGGCAAAAAACACGCGCAATTGCGCCAAAAAACCATTCGTAGCGAAAAGGCGGAAATTTTGGAGCATGCAGGAAGGTCCAGGCATGTCTGTAAACACATGAAGCGCCCCTCACGGACCATGCCCAATTCAGTGATAATTGCTGTGCCTGCCAAGCACAGGAAAAAGTAGATTTCAGAAAGAGACCTTGTGATTATGTGTTTATTGAGACTGGTGCAGAACAATCAAACATGAAGTTCTGCGGGGGAGCTTGATCCCAAGCTTCAAAACGGATTGTTGGCTTTGCAAGGGGTTGGGTTAGCATGGCTGAGATTCTGGAAAGTCATGAGGGAACTGGAAAACCAAACCAGAACAAGCACAACCCTCTGCCGAGGGAAAGGTTGGCTCAGCTGAGCAGTGCCCGAAACCTATTGACTGTTGATTAAACTGGCTGCTGCTTCTGCGAAACCTTTCTTGGGTAATCTGCCCAGTTTCTCGCAAACCATACGCATAGCTTACGTGGCGCAGCCTTCCATTCTAGCGTGCGCTCACTTTGGCAGCTCCAGCTCGCAAAACGAAATTGTTCAGTACAAAAGTAGTACTCAAAGTATCCCCAAACTAGAGCCTCGTTGAAGTATCAAACAGAACGGCGCTAGTTTTGCTTACAAACCTTACACGAGACTATGCGGCCCATGCTTGCTGACGTGGGTACAAGAACCAACAACTTTTATTTGAGGGTTTTGGGCGCTGCTGAAACATGTCCTAGGATCTGCATCTTGCTTCGCGCTTTCTAGTCTGCTGGGCTTGGGATGTTCAAGTTGTTGAGTCTCTTGTGAGTTATGTGGTCGCTGGTTTTCTCGAGCATGCTGAAGGCTTAGAAAAGCATATCTGTGTGTTTGATGGTTTGCGTTGTTTTGCTCGGTTTGCGTCTGCTTTGTTGGTTTGAGATTCACAGGTTAGCCTCTTCTCTAACCCTGCAAATTACATACTAGAAAGACATGTGTGCAGCTGTCTAAACTGCTTGTATCCCGCAAAGGACGCCGCAAATTTGGGACGGCCCCATCGCTGCTCTCATGCTTTTTGCGTTTTTACTATTCAAGGCATCGCTCTTTCATAGACTATGTTCAAGTATGGGCACGGGAGACACGCAACAAGAGCCAGTGCTGCAGACTCATTTTGAACTCTGTGAAAATTGCTACCTACAAGAGAAGGGCATCGCTTTGGGACGCCCCCATCGGCTTCCCCCCAGCTTTCTTCCTTGTTGGAAAACCGATGTCCGCCGAATACATATTCTAGATTCATGTTAGCAGCACTATCAACGTGCACAAGCATCAGGGAAACGTAAGCACGGCCCTTTTCGGTTCACACCAAAAGCTCATGCTTCACATGCTTCCAACACAATTTCATGTATAACTGACCAATCTCTACAAGCAACCCTTGCTGCAAATTGACACCTCCGCCATTCACTGGTGGCAGAAAACACAATTTGAGGCGCCTGAAAGACAATTCAGCCCTGCTTTGTATAACAAGAACAGCAAGAAACGCGCTGGGTGTGCTCCAATGAGAAAGAGAGGCCAAGCCGAAATTGTTTTTAACAAAGTATTGCAATGGATTGCAGCCGGTGGCATTCACACGCCTCAACAAATGCCAAACAACTGGTGAAACGCAAGCTTTCAAATGCCAAAACCGGCACCAAATCGCAAGCACAAATGTCACAAAAACCAGAGCATTACACTTGGCGCTACCATTCGGCTTGGTTGAAAAACCTCCCGCCTACAGAGCCCACACATGCACCCGATTTACATGGGTCAAATACTCCCGCCAAAGCCGACCGGCCTGGCCCAGGCGCCAAGCACAACTTGTGTTTCATTTTTTCTCACTTTCTGCAAACAAGCGGACTAACTAAATCGGAATATGGCCTCCGAAGCTTTCGGAACCCTCCACGTACTTATTTGTAGGCATATCAAAATGGAAGCCATGCAGCCAACGGTACCAAGAAGTCCAGCTCTGTCCTCCTGCTCCTGCTGGTCTCTAGCAGGAGGACGTCGCTGAACGACCAAATCCTGGAAGCTCAATGCATCACATTCAAGATCTCAGATGCCCAATGGCCATGGGAAAAAAGGGCACCCTTTTTTGTTAGTTGAGTTTAAAGGGACACCCTTCCCCAAAAAAAGAAGAAAAGGGCACCACTGGGCAACAGAGAGATGGTCACGAAAACAATGGCGATGCTGTCGTCATCATCAACTATTTCTGTCGAAGACTCTCGCACCACGCTGTTTGGTTGGATGGACAATGGGGGTCGTTTTGGTGTGCAAGCCGGGCTGCGAGTCACAACATGGTGGGCCAACTGACGCAGAATTATACATGTAAAGCATTTGACAGCGACACAACTAACAGCCTTCAAGGGCGACATCAACAAACGCATTACAGCAAAATGCCCTGGACAATGTGCGTGCGACGCGAAATGTAACTGATTGGATTTCCCCCCCCCAATTCCTATCCCTCCTTTGTCAACTCCCCGACTTGTTCGTCGAAAAGGGACAACTGCTGGCTAGTCCACCAGCACAAATATATACAAGTAGTGGTCTTGATCATTGTTGTGCGTCAAGGCGAATCCATGTCACGATAGCAGTCAATAGCATGTTTGACTATAACTATAGTAGGTGTTCGTTTGGAAGGAATGGTGCGCGCATGTTTTATCCATACCTAGGTTTTGCCTGGGCATTGTTGTGTTTGTCCGTTTCGAGCAAAACAAACAATCATTTCGCCCAAAACCGCTCAATTTGAAAAAACAGGAACACTCGACGGGACAATTGTTCTTGTGTCCCCGCAAATTTCCGCTCATCTCCCGCTGATTTCCGCTCAATTCCCGCCGATGTCCACTCATTTTCCCACAAAACACTCGCCTAATCAAGGTTCCGCTCAATTCCTGTTCTTCACCCAAAGTTTGCAACGAGCGAAAAAATGCCAAGAGCCCCAAAAAGTGACCAAATGGAAGACCTAGGTATCCACTACACATCTTAAATAAAGCATGACATGGCAATTCAACGCTGATTCCAGCCTAGAGCCTAGGTAGCTATACAGGCTCTACATCCATACCAAGGTCGCAAATTTGCACTTGAAGTCTTGTAGCTCTGAAGTACCTCCTGTCTAAAGGGCGCATCGGTACATCGACAAACTGGAATTTCTGGTTAGTCCGAGGTTTGAAAGGGTAACCAAAAGTAAAATCACCATTCTAGGGTGGCCCCTTTCTTGACACCTATCCACATGTCTTGCTCAACCATCAGCAAAGTCAGCGGCGAATAGTCACTGCGCATGCCGTTGGAAGCTGGAGCGAACACACCAGTGGGACAAGTGAGCAGAACCGCTGCTGTGAAGGTAGGTGTTGAACGGGTATCCATGACTGCACAGTATATATATATATATACATATAACCTACATATAGGTTTCACGCACCACGTTGTACCCAAGCCTGTTGAACAAGGCGAAGCAGTAGATATTAGCTACCGCAGCCGTGGGCACGAAAACACCGTCATGCGACACAGTCTTTTTCGTTCTTGCGAATGCCAAAACACCAGGCTTCCTCCGTAAACCTAGGCTCAAAGGGTACAAGTTTGGCCAAATGGGAAACCAAAGGAAGCCAATCGGAGAAACCTGGGACCAATTTGTCTCCAAGACCCGGTTCTGTCCTCAGGTTCCTGAGCTTTAGGTCGACCCCGAAGATCCTGCAAGCACAAGAGCTCTCACAATGCAATTGGCTGCAATCTCTAAATTGTGGGTTGGTCTTTCAAGAGAACCCCCCAATTAAAATAGGTGCTGTCCCTTTTGTTTCCTTCAAACAAAGCCCAAGGGTACCCACGGTACTCTGCAGCCTCACCCATGCTCCAGATTCGGGAGGATTTCAATCCGAATGGAAACACCTGCTAAAAGTGCGTTTTATCCTGCATGTGCGGTGTGGACCGCAAGCGGCTGGACACCCAAAAGATCAACCAGCCACGAGAACAAGGGCTTGATGCATAATCACGCAAGCGGCTGGACACCCAAAAGATCTTTCAGCTACGAGAACAAGGGCTTGATGGATAATTACCAGCACCCCCAACCATTGCTTTTTCGGACAGTACTTGAGATATTTGCCATGGGAAAGGGCAGAGGTCGGGGGGGTGCTGGTAGTGCAAGGGCTTGAATGATAGAGGATGCCTTTAAAGCTTCCAAGCACTAATCATCTAACCTATGTTCAATCGAGCCGGATTGTGTTGCAAACACGGAGAGCATGCACGGCAACTCCTCCTCGGCCGGGTTGCGGGCACCTGCAAAGCACCACACGCGACTTGCTGCAACAAAACAAGCTGCCCAAGGTGCGTGGAGTGAGGGGAGCGCTTGAGATGCCGGCAGGCTACGGCTCTTGTAAAACGATTCTTGAATACCGCTGCACGAGCTCTGGCTGTCAAGGGGGCAATTCTCTAACGTGGAAAGCGTGAGAGAATCTGACAAGGGCAAGATAAGAACCGAGACTTCCTGTTGCATGTGCTTTTCATGTCTACCCCAAATTGAGAACCCACCCGATCCAAAACCTCCATTGTTCTCGAGCGACTGTACAACTTTCAAGGCACCGCTCATTTGGCAAAACCTGCCGTAATTGCAACTTCCCAAGCAATCCTATTTGTCAAAGAGAAGCCACAAAGGAAATGACAGAAAAGTCCTAGAGATGTCTGCTGATCTCTGGAGAGGTTCCAAAACCGGCTTTCCATGGCGACCTTGGGGGCCTGGGACAATATGCCCATCAGCCATGGCAAAAGCGTGCTACCGTACATAAATGACAGTCTCTCCCCAAATGCGCCTGCAGGCGTGCTTCCATCCAAACTGCCCTCGCAGCTTTGCGGATCCTGCCCAGCTCTCTAGAACAGAGCTTTAAATTAAAATAAAAGTGTCTGAAGCCGCAAAATGTCCACACAAAAACTATGAATCGTCCTTTGGCAGCGGACACTCACAGGCATCCCAAGTAGACATCGAAGATACCCCCCTTTTGCAAAGAAAGGAGGGACACATATATCAAAACCCGGCAGGAACACATAAACGATCATGCACACAGTCACAAGTACAGTTACAAGCACAAACACAAACACCAAGGGCACACACACACACACACAAATAATTCAAACAACACACACGCGCACAACAAAAACACGCAAACTCACACACACACACACACACACACACACACACACACACACACACACACACACACACAACCAGACTGCACCAAATGTACACAAGCGCACACAACAACTCACACGCAATCACCACACACACACACGCGCGCGAGTGCAAAGACACAAGACAAACAAACTAACACGAAAACATACACCCACACACACAAGCACAAAAACAGGGCAAACACAAGCACAAAAGCAGAGCAACACAACATACACAAACAGCAAACACACACACACAGACACAGACGCAGACACAAACAGAGATAGAGACAGAGACAGAGACAGAGACAAAGACAGACGCAAACACGCAGGGGCGCATCGACGCAGAGGCGCGCAGCGCGCGCAGAGGCGCGCAAAGGAGCGCAGAGGCGCGCAGAAACGCGCAGAGAGACGCAGACGCAGACGCAGACGCAAACACATACACAAACACACATGCTCACACGTTCACACGCAACCACAAACACTTGCGCTTACAGAACGCTGCACAGTTGCTTCCGGTACCAGCTCAGGGATGCCCTGATTGGACGAGTAGCTTGCTGATACACTTGAGCTCGTGTCCCTCACGAAGCCAACCGAGTCGGGCGAAGTTCGACTTACCTCTCACCGGTCTGAACTTGATGCGTCAACGGTCTTCGCAAACAGTGCGGTCCAGGGAGTAAAAGATCACAGACCAGTTGGGTAGTTTATTGAGGTGACCAGCGCCCAAAACCTATTCTCTGTTAAGATTATTGCTAAGGGCAATATGCAGGCCTTACTATTAACCGTAATATGAAGCGGGTAGCAGAACCAACTACTAAAGAGGCCAATAGAATGGTTGAACGCTCAGGGATTCAAGGATGTCATCCATCACTGGATTTGTCCAGGATGCCCGAAGAGCTCGCCTCCGGGTTCTCGTCCGGCAGAGAACCCTTCGGCACTTGGCAGACGTCCTTGTTGGCCGAGTCATTCAGGGCGCTAGTTGCATGCAAGGCCCGAACTGGTCCAATGTGCATAGGATACATTATCATCCACAAGTCCAACAAACGGCTCAGACCTCCCACTGATCAGGCCCATGCTTCAATTGGCTAGAATACATTGGGTGGAACACCAGCAATACATCACTCACAGCTTGCGATGAATAATCTGGCAATTCCTTCGAAACCATTTAATCAGTCCTAAGCCACGAAACAATGACCACAACAAACAATCCACCAACTCAGGGAAATCTCTGGTATGTCAAGTGTGCCCTGGGTAAACGGGCAATCATCACACTGCCGATATCATCTAATATAATCTTCTCTCCTGAAGACCCAGCCCTTCTTTTTGAAGATCAAAATGCCTGGCTCATTTAGCTGTTAGTTGAAGTATAGTCATTTGGCATGCGTGCTCTGAAAAGCAATCAAACAGGAAACTACAACGTGTCTTACGGTATTTAGAAACAGCTCTGCCCTAGCCTTCGTGCAATATTGCTTGATTTACCCTCATTCCCACAAGCATGGAAGTGGAGAAGTGGTCGTTTCAAGAGCAGGGCTTTCTTCCGAATCCTCCGACCACCTCCATAGGGGTTACCGTGGTTTCCGGCATGGATCCCGTGACACCTCCAGCCATCTCCCCTCCTCAGCAGCGCGCGCACCTCAAGCGTTGAATGATCGCTAAACTCGTCCCCAAAGTAACGAACTCGTGATACCAAAAGAGGCGTCCATTTTTCCCAAAAGGAGGCTCCCTCAAAGCAGAACGGGAATTAGTATTGTGAAAGTCTTGGGCTTCGCTCAAGTCTCTCAAGTATCGGGACCATGTTCGTTTCTGACGGGACTGGCCTCCTTTATATCTTGAATCGTAGTGTCAATGTGGCAAAGGGCGTCTTCATCCTTGGCGAAGCTTGCGTGGCCGTCTAGACACGCACTTGAACAAAACGCTGAATCTGCACTCGGCAATCAAACTAGAAGATCGGCGAATGCGTGGTAAGGTCTCCATTATTTATCACGACATCCGCCTGGATAGGCGTAAGGCAGGAGGCCCCGCCTGCAGGTGTGCTTCCATCCAAGCTACCCTCGCAGCTTTGTCGATCCTGCATATCAGTGGCTGCCAGACAGCTGACCCAAACCATACTGCCAGGCAGCTCACACTCTTAGGCGCAACCTGACAAATGCATCCATGGGTGTGTCTTTCGGTGAACCTCCTTGTAGTTGATCTTCAACGGAAAACAGAAGGGACACCAAGCATTTTAGAGGTGCCCTATTTTAAGCCACCCATGTTACGTAAACCTATCTTCTCCCGACCTCGTCAGCCCTGGACCCGGACGTACTAGACGCAGGTTTCCGCCCAAACCCTCCCACGTCTGCTGGCCGCCTAGTCCCTACAGCCGCTCTTCACAGGCTGCTATGAAAAGCTTGCAAGGGGAACCCATCAACAAACCTCTCGTTGAATGGGCGGCGTCTCATGAGGGAAGTTTTTGCTTGTGAGGGAAACTCGGCCTGTTGATTCGCAAGGTTTACTCAGGGTACACATCACCGCACTTCAGGTCGCTTCCTAGGAGGATATGTCCAACAGGGAAACCTGGTCGGCCTCCGCCCGGGACTAATAATTGCATGTTGTCCAAGAATACTAGTTGACAGGGCGGCTCGTAGTTTCCGCTAGGCCCGCCGCTAGGCGTTTGAAACAGGTCCTTTGTACCTGCATGTTGTGGCAGCGATACTGGCTTCCCTCAGAAAGAATGAAGGCTATTCTCTCCTCCGGAGTCGGCATGACGACCACGTCTTCCACTTCATCCATTCCGCTGGAAGTGTTCGGTTGGCTGGCCTTTGCGGCATGAGTAAGCTGCGCGGGCTGGTACTGGCCCGTTGAGTAAAAAGGCGCCCGTTTGTTGACCATCAATATATGGATTCGTAGTGTTGTTTGATGGACAACATCCCGATCCGGGTATGCCGCGTGACGGCAGGTGTGGTTGACTTGTGCATTCAAATGTGACGGGAAGATCAGGTTATTGCAAAGGCAATCTCTATGTGTCAAGACCCTCAGTAGCAAACGCTATTGCAATTTCAGATAATTATTAATCCGCGTCAAATGAGAATCGCTTTGTTTCATAGCTCGAAAGTTGCACTGCTCACTTCATTACCCAAGCGAGCCGCTGTTCAGAGACGAATTTGTGTTGCGAGGGATCAAACACCGGGTATCCTTCCCATCGAAACTTGCTCAGCGGCTGGATGCCAGGCGAAGGCCGGGCCTGCTGGAAGAAGCTGGAGTTGGCTTGCTGACTGAAGATGGACACCCTTTCACGCTTCGGCCTCCCAGATTCGACCAGCCATGGGCCGGATTCGATCAAAAGCCATTGAAACATGTCTCTTGTCGCATGGAACAACCAAATATGCCGGGATACGACACGAAGTGCAAACATGCAACGCAATGAAACAGAGGTCAAGAAGTCTTCGTTGAATATATCGTGTTACTTAAAATTGCTGCCTGGAAGGAGGCGTTTGTGCAAAGGCTTCTCCAGAACATGCTGCCATAGATCTGCTTCTATCAAAAGACTGCGGATGCTCCTGAAAACAAGGGGGCTCTAAAATGGCATGGTGTGTGAATCGCTTCCCTTCAATAAACCAATGGATCACCCATGCTGTCTGTGGGAACCCTCCTCGCTTCCCACATCCTTGGTGCCTTGGCTTCTTTGTGCTTCCCAGGTCGGCGTTGCTCACGGCGTTCTTGATGGCAATCTTCCGGGCGGCCTGCAACGGTCTCGAGGCGGCGCTTGCTTCGACGCTTGTGAGGCAGTTGTCTCTGTGGTGTCTGAAGCTCGATATGCTCGATCCAATCCGCTGCAAGTTGAAGACTCCTACACCAATCCCAACACAAACAACTTTGTGTCGTAGGGCAGGTCTCTATCGTTGCCAAATAAGACATCTATTTGCTTGCTTGATAAGTCAATTAAAAGCGCGGCAACTTTGCCCTCAACAACATCAGAATGCAGGTTGGCAGCTGGCTGCTGCACAGTTTCTGGGCAACAGCAATCAAGCAGCAAATCCATGGAACGCTCGGAGCCTTGAGAACTGCGCTACTTGCCAGCTTGATCCAGGCAAGAATCCACACCCTTCATTGGTGTGGCAAAAGCTGCAGTATATAAAATTAGTAACTAAAGCATCATCCTTTGAAAGAGTGGATTCTTAGCTCAAAGCAGTGCATCAGCCTAAAGGCTTGGAGCCCTGTCTGGTGACACTCTTTTGGCCTTGATCATTTAAAATGATGTACATACCAGCCATTCAAACTTTTCGCATTTGCCAACACAACAAGGAAGCTGCCACGATCTCTTGCAGCTGTCGCCTTTTCGGCCGCGGCGTCGCTGGGCCTTCGGCACGCATGCATCGAACAAGCCTGTGCCAAGGGTAGCCCAAAATTCCAGCCATCCTCTTGACAAGTCACAAAAGGGTACCCCTCCTCAAACACAACGCCTACACTGGACAACATGCACCGACAGCTGCCCAACAACAATACATGTTTGGGGAATTGCATGACAGGCCGCTTCTGAACCTCGAATGTGCCGTGGAGCAACTTCTCGCAAGAGGAACAGCTATCTTGCAACCTTTTTGAAGGACCGTCATTAGCAACCACACGTATAAATATACTTTATAAATACCCTGAGAGGAAGTTGCATTAACTGCCTCGACACACTGCAGAACGTGTGGACGATTGTCAAAGCGCTGCCAGGGTTCCCGGGCCTGTCGTGGGATTCCTGCCGGCGATGACGTAAGCACTGCAAGTATTGCATGTGGGCGTGTAGACTCCAAACTAGGAAGATTGAATTTGGCTGTCTATCTGATAGACCCCCGAATTGTACTCTCAAAACAGACAATCTCGTGTTTCGCAAAGTCAACAGATCCAAACGCTCGGAATCATTCTGGAATCCGCAAACTAGCTCTGAGTTCCCAAATGAGAGATGAGTCTATGCCAGAAACTGCGGCGCTACTTTATGTGGAAGTTTGTAGTGGGCTGTGCGTCCTTCGGCCTTGGGGCCCTTGTTTCACTGGCGAAAGGGTGTCCCTTTGAAGGGATCCCTTTTGGCAATGGGGTTGGATGCATTTGCTTTTTGAAAGAACCGAAATTGGTCATCTTCATGCCTATCTTCTCCTCCGAAATCCGTTTTTACCTTGGGCTGTATACAATACAAGGGGGTTACGAATTGCGGGTTGACGTCATGTTTTTCATTTTACTCGCTACAGTGTTACAGCGTTTAATGTCAAGAGGCAATTGCTTGCTGCTATTTCAAACAGGTTCAGGCCCAAAACCATGCACTAGTCACTAGTAAACGAGAAATTAATTGTAGAAATTACTTGAGGGCATCTTTGGACACTGAGAGGAAGCTATGAAGGGGCCACGGGCGTCAAGCAGCCGTTTGTCGTATTGTTGTCGACGGGAACCATCAATAGCTTTCCTCTTGCTTTCCTCGTGCTTTGGCCCACGGCCTAGAACTGCATCTCCATCAAGTGTGAAGCGCTCACGTCTTGCCAATGGTTATCGTGTTTGGCTCCTTATCGCTTTGAAGGGGGGCAAGCATGTGTTGCCGAAAAGGACCGGCCCCATTATGCAAGTCCTATGCCCATGTCTTTTAAAAAAAACATTTGCGCCATCTCCAAAGCAGGGCATCCACAATCATCTCGTAAGCTCGTTTTACTCGCAGAAGGACTCGCTGTGCTTTGCGCAATCCGTGGTTACATGGCCCGCGCGGTCCTCGAGGGTTTGGTTCAACTGCTCGCGGGCGCGTAGCGCAGGCGCATCGCGCGCCTTCCGTCCTGAAGGCGAAGGTTCGGACCCTCAACCGGGAGTTTCTACCTTGATGGCCGGGGTTCTACCGGTTTTCTAACCAAAAGGGCCCAGAAGTGTTCTACCGTTGGGGCATCTGATTGCGTGAGCAACCCTCTTTTAGAACATCAAGAGCTGCTAAGATATTATGAGAGAACCCCCGAAAGAAAAGCTGGGGCCCCTAACTTGGCTTGGGCAGGAAAAAACCATGGAAAGCCCTTGTAACCTTATACCTGGTATCAGTCAGCACCGTTTCGTTTTTTCTCCTCTGCATCGGTTTGCAGTGTTTTGGCAGCCCTAGCTCAAAAGTCGCGACTTTTAAACACACGTGCAGTATACGGCATGCGCTCTGGCACGTCCAGCTTCAAAGTCGCAACTTTTCAGCAGGTGTATTACGCAAAGTGCATTTGGCAGCTCCAGCTGGAAAGTTGCAACTTTTCAGTACAAGTGTAGTGTACGTAGTACACTTTGGCAGCTCCGGCTCAAAAGTCGCAACTTTCAATTGTAGTACACAATGCACATTTTGGCAGCTCCAGGGCAGCTGGTTGGATTCGGCATGTCAGTTCATGAGTTGGGATATCGATTGGGAATCGGTTTGGGTATCGGTTTGGGCCCTGCACATCTTAGTTTGCAAAATAACAATTTGGACCTGATGTGTGTCTTCATGGCTTTTACGGGTATCGTTTTTTTCCTCAGCATCGGTCTACAGTGTTCCGGGCCGGCAAAGAAAGTTACGGGACGGGCCCTTACATAAAGAAAAGGCGCGGGGATTATTTTTCGACCCACTTGGAGACGTGTCTGTTCAGCTGGTCAGGTTGCACTGGCTAGGTTTCCTTCACCCATCTTTCCAAGTCCAATCCAAGGGAAATGGACCCGAGCCGTCAATCCGCAATGTGTTGAGACCCCCGCTGCTTGTCCAAGGTGGAATCGGGCTACAGTATCAGCAGTATCCACTACCTTGTCTAAGGTAAACATAGCAAAGATCGAACCCAAAAGCGACAACAATATCTCACATTTGAATAGCTAGTGAACACTTCTGAAACGCGCTGCTATGGAGTTCGTTGAACTGGAGCACGTTAAAAGTGACGCGGTGGCTGGCGCTTCTTCCATCGACAGAGTATTGCATGCAGCACTTCAAAACATTTTTCACTCACAGAATAACTTGGTTTCTTCATGCAGCATATTTTGTGTATTATATATATATATATATATATGTATATATATTATATATATACATACATGTGCTTCTCGTGAATCGCAATACCGTATGCTGCCCCATTAGCATTAGGCAGGAATCAACGATCGACTCTCAAAAACAATCGACACAAGTTGATGAGGGATGCCTGATGGACAGCAAACGAGGAAACATGTTTAGTGTCGACAAACGTAGGACAATCTCTGCTGGGCATTTCTTTGGCAGCAGACATAAAATTGGCAAACCAGAGAAACCTTGTCTAGGTCCACCATGAGCCTTGAGCGACACCTTGCAGCCAAGTCCCCAACCCTAACTTTGGACCCTGACCCCGAGCAACGCTCCACGCGATCCCGAAAAGTCAACAACGTCTCGATGGCCTGCATCGCTGAGCCTAGCCTGGCAAAAAGAAGAACCGCGACGTCGCTCGCTCGAAGCCTTCAGGAAATCAACCAAAGAAGAAGCGTTCAACAGCTTGCCGTATATTTACAGTACCGACACGTCACCCCCAAAGGCAGCAAGTGATGTTCCAACCATCTATCATCCACCCAGAAGGGGCAGTATGGCCCCTGACCGAGGGTCCACAAATCCCACAAATGCGAACTGTGCCGTCGGGCTCCATTGCCTCCAAGGTGATTTTATTCAGTATTTGTAGGGATTCATACATTCTAGCTGGTGAGGAAGTTTGCTCGTCGCGACAGATTCCAAAAAGGGGGCCAAGTGCCCCCAGGATTTGTAAAGGCAATGGGCCAGCCTTTTGGTTTCCCTTTAAACCAGCCTGGACTG